CACCCCGAAGATGACTACTCTTCGGGTGCTGCTGCACATAGCCGCTCACCGCGACTACGAGCTTCACTCACTTGACTTCAGCACTGCTTTCTTGCAGGGCAGCTTGCACGAGGAGATCTGGCTGCGCCGCCCCCCTGGCTTCACTGGGTCGTTTCCTCCTGGTACCCAGTGGAGGCTTCAGCGGCCGGTCTACGGTCTCCGCCAGGCTCCTCGTGAGTGGCACAACACACTGAGGACTACACTTGCGGCTCTTGGGTTCGCGCCTTCTACTGCTGACCCGTCGCTGTTTCTGCGCACCGACACTTCGCTGCCGCCGTTCTACATCCTCGTGTACGTCGACGACTTGGTCTTTGCCACTGCTGACACTGCAGGACTCGCCTACGTGAAGTCGGAGCTGCAGAGGAGACACACGTGCACAGACCTGGGTGAGCTGACAAGCTATCTTGGCTTGCGGATCACCCAGGACAGAGCACGGCGCACCATCACCCTGACTCAGTCACACATGGTGCAGCAGGTTCTCCAGCGCTTCCGCTTCACGTACTCCTCGCCTCAGTCCACTCCTCTGCCTACCGGTCACTCACTCTCAGCTCTGCCTTCGGATGAGTCCGTAGAGCCGAGTGGCCCGTATCCAGAGCTTGTGGGCTGCCTCATGTACCTGATGACTTGCACTCGACCTGACCTTGCATACCCTCTTAGCATCCTTGCACGCTATGTCGCTCCTGGCCGTCACAGGAAGGAGCACATGGATGCCGCTAAGAGGGTGTTGCGCTACTTGTGCAGTACGTCGGGCATGGGGCTAGTGCTTGGAGGGCGAGACCGAGTTGTGCTCACTGGACACTCAGACGCTTCTTGGGCGGACGACCAGGCTACTCAGCGGTCGTCTCAGGGTTACACCTTCAGCCTTGGCTCTGGCTCAGTTTCTTGGCGTTCCACACGCTCTTCGTCTGTTCTCAGCTCCAGTTGTGAGGCTGAGATCTACGCCACAGCCATGGCGGCCCAGGAGCTTCGCTGGCTGACCTACCTGCTGACCGACTTGGGAGAGAGGCCTCGTTCTCCTCCAGTGCTGTACGTCGACAACAAGGCTGCCATTGCCTTGTGTGAGGAGCACAGACTGGAGCACCGAACGAAGCACATCGCCCTGCGGTACTTCCTGGCTAGAGAGCTACAGCAGCGTGGTCAGCTTTGTCTGCGTTACGTGGCCACTGAGGCCAACACTGCTGATGTGTTCACCAAGGCGCTCCAGCCTTGTGACCATCAGCGCTTTTGTACTCTTCTGGGCCTTGTGCCTACTGGACCTCACTTGCTCACTTCTTGACTTTGCTTGTACTGTGATCTCTATATATATATACCTGCATGTTTACTCTTGCTAGGTTGTGATCACTGTATCTCTTGCTTTGTTATCAAACTGCATGTGAACTGGTCTTGTGACCGCTTGCTTGTGCTCGGAATTTGTGTGGAATCCTCGAGATCCACCCTGAGCCTGTTTTGCCTTGCTTTGCCCTGACTGGTCTTGTGACCCCTTGTTCTCCCCCACTTTGCCTATGGGGGTGTGTCAAACATATGTGCTGCATACTGTCTAGGCTGTAGTGGGGTAGCCCATATGGGGTACAACCCAAATTAGGGTTTACTACTTGTACTCCTGCATGCTTCTAGTTCCCCATTCCTGCCTGTTCATTCTGACATGGGTTCCTGTTCCGACTCGAGCCATCGGGGCCAATCTCCTGGAATTCACAGAAGCAGGAGTTGGTTGCCCTGTCATCAGCCGAAGCGGAATTCATCGCAGCAACTGCAGCAGTTCGCGAAGGCCTCTATCTGCAGGAACTTCTGCAAGAGGCGAAAATTCCAACTTCGCCCACATTCCGCCTTCACTGCGACAACCAGAGCGCGATTCGCATCGCGAACAAGCCTGGTTTCGTCAACCGCACCAAGCACATTGCGCTGCGGTACTTCTTCGTGAAGGACGAGGTGGACAAGGGCAAGGTCAACTTGACATACTGCCCGACATGTGACATGGCAGCGGACTTCCTCACGAAGCGACTGCCACGCCAGCAGTATCAGCACTGCTCCAAACTCAGCGGCGTGGTCAAGCAGGTCAAGTCGAGCTACGGCCAGGAGTGAAGGGGGGTGTTACGAATAGTAATATTTGATATTAATGTGCCCTCCTCACCGTAGCAAAGAAAAGCACGCAATATCGGGAATGAACGCGAAGCGTCAGACGGTTGGAATTGAATCGAAGCGTCGGACGGTTACAGCACATCTGGACCGTCGGGAGCAGACGGCATCGGGCAGCTACTGACAGGATGGTTTTGGCGGGAACAGTTACGAAACTGTACGCGCCGCACGGTTGGGGATGTATTTGAATAAGGGAATGTACCCCTTAGAGTACATGGCTAGTTAGGTCGTTTCGTATTCCCTGTACTCTTATTTATATCGATGTATTTGCATGTTTTCATCTTCTCAAAGCATTTTACATTCACTCTGCTATTGAGGTCAAGGGCCCACCAACACTACTGCGTGCGAACCTTCCTGTGTAGTGTTACGAATAGTAATACTTGATATTACTGTGCACTCCTCACCGCAGCAAAGAGAAGCAGGCAATATCGGGAATGAACGCGAAGCGTCAGACGGTTGGAATTGAACCGAAGCGTCAGACGGTTACAGCACATCTGGACCGTCGGAAGCAGACGGCATCGGGCAGCTGCAGGCAGGATGGTTTTGGCGGGAACAGTTACGAAACTGTACGCGCCGCACGGTTGGGAATGCATTTGAATAAGGGAATGTACCCCTTAGAGTACATGGCTAGTTAGGTCGTTTCGTATTCCCTGTACTCTTATTTATATCGATGTATTTGCATGTTTTAGTCATCTCAAGCATTTTACATTCACTCTGCTATTGAGGTCAAGGGCCCACCAACACTACCGTACTGCATGCGAACCTTCCGGAGTAGATCCTAGGTGACGATCAACTTCTGATCGTAGCAAGTAGATCCTGGGCTACGATCATCTTCTGATCGCAGCATAGCGAAACTAGCTAGGCCGAAATCGCGGGGGTCGCGAGATGGTTGGGTGCAGGTTCGGGGTTGGAAAACCCGAAGGCGACGCGGTAGTGGCTCGGAAGGCGAGGTCGGCGGACCGAGCCTGGTTTTCCGAAAGTCGGGGTTGTACGCGTACAGTGTGACCCAGTAAGGAATCCGAAAAATTCCTTACACTAGTGAAGAGTACAATGTGAATATTATGAATGAACCTACAGAGTGCGCAAATTAAACTATTATCGGGACTCTGAATATCAGAACCGATACAATTGTTACGATAAGGTAAAAAAGCTATATGTATAAATAAAAATATTTTACAGCATTCCTTCACCAGCTGGAGAGAGTCAAGAAAGTCAGCCTCTGCTTCACCGAGCCAAAACGGCAGGCGCCAAGTTCAAAACCGAGCACCGAACCCACACAGGTTCGTTTTTTTGCGGTCTCTACTGCTGAACCCTGAAGTGCTGAAAGACACCGCACTAAACCGTTGTTTCTCCTTTTTTGACCCCGCTTTAAATCGAACCTACGTAGGTTCGGCGTTTGGCTTTGAACATAGGTGACGCGTCTGGTATGCCAGATGACTGGTTAGGTATGCCGAGCCGTGTCCCAATGTCGCACAGCGATTCCAGCAAGGCGATTTCGGCTGCCTTGGTTGGTGGTGTCCTATGCGCGCTGCGCAAATTGCACCGCTGGCTTTGACACCAATCGCTTGTGAGGTTGGGCAACTGACATCCAATAGCAGTTACCCTGCGCGAGATATTTCTGGCTTTCAATTGTAGGGTACTACAGTAGACATAGGTTTGATAGTTGGTCCACACCACACACCCTACATTTCTTCAGCACATTCATATTGACCTAACGAGGTTTGGGTCACGAGAAGCTACCGAGTTCGATGCTTGCATAGAAGACACGACCCCTCAGCCAGACAAACTCGTAGCGACTGTACGCTAAGCAAGCAACGCAGGCCGGGCCTGTGAACGACGGCGTCAAACGGGTGGAGAGAGAAAACGGGCGATGCCGCGGTAGGCGATGGAAAGGAGAGACGTGGTGTGGAGGGCCGCAGCAGTAGCGTTACTGGTGGCGCGCTGCTGCATGCCCATCGCACGGGCTGCACCCGTGATGGATCCTGACAGTAAGCCGTGCTGAAGCCAGCCACTTTCACTGAATGTGAATTTATGGTTCTCTTCGGTAAAATTTCGCACTTGTTTTCCTTGTTCATGATGTAAACCCAACTCGTAACCGTGTCGAGCGCTTGCATCTGTGTACGCTCAACTTTCGTCCCTGCGCCGGCGGGTGTGCTTGCGACTGTCAAATTTGGGCCGCTGTGGTGTTTGTCTCATCGTATGACGGGGGTAACGTGCTGCTATTTCGCATGACAATTTGACGATGGCACGGTGTGGAGACGCGGTCGCAGATGGCATGATGGGATGGCGTAACGGGATGGCGTAATGGGATGGCATGATGGGATGGCATGATGGGATGGCGGTTATGGGATGGCGTAACGGGATGGCGTGATGGGATGGCGTAATGGGATGGCGTGATGGGATGGCGTGATGGGATGGCGTGATGGGATAGCATGATGGGATGGCGTGATGGGATGGCGTGATGGGATGGCGTAATCGGATGACATGATGGGATGGCGTAATGGGATGGCGTGATGGGATGGCATGGATGGCGTGATGGGATAGCATGATGGGATGGCGTGATGGGATGGCGTGATGGGATGGCGTAATCGGATGACATGATGGGATGGCGTAATGGGATGGCGTGATGGGATGGCGTAATGGGATGGCATGATGGGATGGCGTAATGGGATGGCATGATGGGATGGCGTAATGGGATGGGATGATGGGATGGCGTAATGGGATGGCATGATGGGATGATGGCAGTGGGCGTGCTGGAAGACCTGGCATCTGCATGGAGCAGCTTCTACGGCAGGAGCACATGGAGAAGAGGCAGGGATTGTGACTTCATGACATCTGTCTTCTGCGATTGGGTTGGCCATGTCGTGGCGATGTGAGCATCTTGGCCCATGACATTGCATGGCATGACATGTTGGAAAATGGAACTCATTGTTAGGGCTGTCAGAAGTAGCATTGATGCTGGATGCACGTGAAAGTAGAACTCCATACTTGATGCCACTCAACATTGTCTCATTCCGTCCTGCCTCAGTTATAACCTACCGTCATACGCAAATGTCTATATCGTGCTCCCTGCCCGTACCTTCTGGCTCCCTGTGAGACCCTTTAATGCAGCGAGGTGAGCAGCAGCTACATAGTTGGCTCCATTCCAGCGGCCATCACCAACCTGGAGAACCTCGAATGGCTGTGAGTGGGACAAGCGTGTAAGCGAGACGAGGGTGCGCTGGCATCTGTGTGTGCGATAGAGGGGTTATGCTTCTGATACCTCTTGCCCTCGGCTATATGTCCCTGCAGCTCTGTCCAAGGGCTCATCATTTTGAGTTCATTTCACTTCCACCTCACTCGCTCCTCTTCCTTCCCTCTCGCAGCTCCATCACCGACAGTGTTCTGAATGGCTCTCTGCCTGCTGACCTCTTCACCATGCCCAGTCTAACGGACCTGTGAGGCTCCTGCTCCGCCACTTCCTTCCCACGCTGGTGCTGCCTGACGCCTGTGCCCGCAGCACATCACCCCTGTGCCGCACGCACCATGCGCAGATGATGCACAAAGTCGATTCGCTTGTTGCACAAGTTACTTGCTTCGAAGGCAAGCGCGCGCATGGGTTTGGATGGAACCGAGTGTAACACTTGGCCGTACCTATTGCATGCGTGTGTGCACGGGTCCATCCATACAGTATTCTGTCAGGGAACCAACTCACGGGCAGCATACCGGACAGTGTGGGAAATGCAGTGGGCCTCGAAACTCTGTCAGTCCCCTATTCTACCTCCACGTCACGCCTAAACTGCTTCCATAAAAAAAAAATCCACTCTCGTGCTCTCCAATGCCACCAATCGCACGCTTCAAGCTGGTCAAATGCGCCACCTTCTTAGCTCCTACTCCCTCCACGCTCTACTCACATTCTCTCAGGCTCCATTCTCTAAGCCATCTCCTTCTTACCTTCTTGCTTCATCCCGCCCCGTGTGGGCCTTTTTCCCTCCTTGATACCATTCACCCCATGTGCAGAAACTTGGCAAGGAACAATCTCTCAGGCTCCATCCCAGCCTTCCTCCGCAACAACCTCAGACTGAAGGCCCTGTGCGCCCGTTTTGAAACCCCCCTCTGTTTCTGAGCAGCAGTGCAGATGCCTCAGTTAAGCTCACTTGACCTACGTCCCTGCACTCATGGCATCTGCTGCAGCACCCATGCTTTCATGGCAGCCCTCGCATTTTCATCCTTTTGCGGTCCTGTGTCTCTCCATGAGTGTCCTGCCTTCCTCTCCCTGTGCTTCCCTGGGGCCCCGGGGAACCAAACCAGCGTGCTGGAGTACAACCAGTTCACAGGGTCGATACCAGACTCCCTCGGGGACCTCACCAACCTCCAAGCGTTGTGAGCACTGAGCTTTGATCGTGGTTTCCTGCCCTTGCAGGAATCATGCCAGCACAGGACAACGCAGGACGAGTAAGAGCATAAAAAGTTCAGGGCATGGGACATTAGTTGGGGTTTGGGAGATGAGGGACGAGGGGCAGGGAAGGGAACGGGATGGAGTGGAGGAGAATGATGGGTGGGAGACAGCAGGACGTTGAACAGACAGAGTGCGACTAACATGCTGGCTGATTCCCCTTCCCTGCCCTCCCGCTTCCATGTCTTCCTCTATCCATGTATCCGTGCCTGCCATACTTCTTGCTGCTTTCACGAATCTCCACACAGGGCCATGATAGGGAATGTGTTTACCGGACAAATTCCACCAGCGTTGGGAAACTGCACTTCTTTGACTTTCCTGTACGCATGTGACCTTCCCACCTTTGTCATAACGACCCCCTTCTTTCATTCCCACTCCCTAGGCTACTAAACGTTGTCACTTTCTTGATTCTGTGTTCTCTTATCACCTCTTGGAACTCCCTGCCTACGTGTCGTTCTTGCGTGTTTGTTGATTCCACCCCATCATGAACTCCCCTAGAATTTTTCTAACCATGCGCCCTGTTGTCTGTAGTAACTTGGGCCAAAACAATCTTTCGGGGACCATACCTAGCAGCCTTGGCAACCTTCAACGCCTGCAGCTCTTGTGAGCCCATGCAGTGCAGCGGGGATCAGGGAGGGATGGAGGTGGAGGGAGGGGTCGGTGAATGGAAGGGAATGCTATGATAGCAAAAAGGAATGGGTGGGGGGAGGTTGTAGGGGTGGGTAATTCCAAGGACCAGAAGTGAAGTGCACCTGAACACCGTAATTAGCAGACAAAAGGCTAGCGTATGCTCTTCAACACCTCCTCTGTTACCCTGTGTTGCCATAACTGCACCAGCTTCACCTCAACATGCACGGAGTTGTGTTGTTCTGTACTGCAGTCGAGCTCTTTTCGTTGGTACATGTGTAGTTGCAACAACAAACATACCTGACTGTTGTATTCTCCTAGCTTGCACTCGACAAAGTCTACCAAGCAACCTTGCGATTGTTACAAGATCACCAACATTCATTGCTAATGTCCCCACGCTCTCCGCACGGCTTACAAGCGATGCACCCGTGGTGCAATGACAAGAAGTCGGTGCAGACGAAGGAAACTCTTCGACACACCTGAGTGGCATGTTGCATTGCACCCATGGTGTGTGCAGGTCCCTGCCAGAGAACAAACTCAGTGGATCGCTGCCCGAGGATTTGTCACGGCTGCAGCAGCTGAGCCACTTGTATGGGTTGTGCGGGCGGAGTGGGCCCCGTGCTCAGAGCAGCAGCGAGTGCATGAGGGGCACTGCCCCAGCCCGCTCGCTTGTGGCTCCTGCTGTTCTCCTTACTTCTCGCTTGTCTCTCAGCCTTCTCTGCCCCGTCACTATTCTGGGAGATGTCCATCGGTGTTCCTCCCTTTGCTGTCGTCCGTGCTTATTTCAAGAACACATGCATACAAGGGCAGAATTTGGGATAGGTATAATTGATGGCAAATGCAATCTGGTTACCGATGGTCCCTCTCAAGATATCATCATCTCAATGTGCTATGCTCATTTCCCATTGGCCTTATGACTGATAGGGACGTGTTCAAAAATGCCCTGAATGGGGAGCTGCCTGCATGGGTTGACAACATGAAGAGCCTGACATTGCTGTGCGTGCGACCATACGTGCCACCATGCACGCCACTAAGCACGCCACCATGCATGCCACCATGCATGCCACCATGCATGCCACCATGCATGCCACCATGCATGCCACCATGCATCGTACCATGCACGCCACCATGCACGCCACCATGCATGCCACCATGCACGCCACCATGCATGCCACCATGCACGCCACCATGCATGCCATGCACACCACCATGCATGCCACCATGCACGCCACCATGCATGCCACCATGCACGCCACCATGCATGCCACCATGCACGCCACCATGCATGCCACCATGCACGCCACCATGCATGCCACCATGCACGCCACCATGCATGCCACCATGCACGCCACCATGCATGCCACCATGCATGCCACCATGCATGCCACCATGCATGCCACCATGCATCCTACCATGCATGCCACCATGCATGCCACTATGCGTGCCACCATGCATGCCACCATGCATGCCACCATGCATGCCACCATGCATCCTACCATGCATGCCACCATGCATGCCACCATGCACGCCACCATGCATGCCACCATGCATGCCACCATGCACGCCACCATGCATGCCACCATGCACGCCACCATGCATGCCACCATGCACGCCACCATGCATGCCACCATGCACGCCACCATGCATGCCACCATGCACGCCACCATGCATGCCACCATGCACGCCACCACGCATGCCACCATGCACGCCACCATGCATGCCACCATGCATGCGACCATGCATGCCACCATGCATGCCACCATGCATGCCACCATGCATGCCACCATGCATGCCACCATGCATGCCACCATGCATGCCACCATGCCTGCCACCATGCATCCTACCATGCATGCCACCATGCATGCCACTATGCATGCCACCATGCACGCCACCATGCATCCTACCATGCATGCCATCATGCATGCCACCATGCATGCCACCATGCATGCCACCATGCATGCCACCATGCATGCCACCATGCATGCCACCATGCATGCCACCATGCATGCCACCATGCATGCCACCATGCATGCCACCACGCATGCCACCATGCGTGGTTGCCATCATGGTCGTTGCACGCATCCCCATACAAGCACCTCAGATTCAACTTTTCCCTCTCAGACCCCATCTCGCCTGTCGTGTCTCTAGGCCCTATGCCTCTCATTCCAGAGTACGCTTATCCGTTGCGCCACTTTCACCATCTATTCCTCTCCTATTCCTCCTGTTCTTGCCTGCCATCCATTGCCATCCATCCTCTCCTTCCTTCTGTAACCTCCTCCTCCCCTCCCTCCGAGCACCAGGTCACTGACTTACAACATGTTCAGCGGCTCCCTTCCAGACACACTAGGCAACCTGAAAAGCCTGTCACACCTGTGAGCGAGACCAGAGGTGGAGCGGACTGCACATAAGGGCTAGCATGAGCGGAGCTAGTGGCGAAATAAGGAGTTTCATGTGGGCTTGTAGTCTGGCCAGCAGGAGCAGTATTCGCGGGAGGGCAGGCCAAGTTAGCACTTCTCAAGAAGAGGAAGTTGAGCACTTCATGGGTGCTTTTGGAATGATGCACCTGCAGCGTGGAGTGGAGTCTCTACCAATTAAGGTTGAAGCATAGGTTTCATGACTTCCTCCCCCCTCTTTTTCTCCCTTCCGTCACCCTTCTTTCCCCAGGTGGCTTGATTTCAACAGGTTTTCAGGAACCATCCCCGAATCGATCGGAGACCTGACAGGACTCTCCACATTGTAAGGTGGTGGGGCGCAATGGGGGGCCCTGTTCAACAGCATGGACTTGGTGACACACCATGTTACATCGTGTGCAAATCCAACACTGCACTACCACGGCACATGGCAGGACCCTTGGTTTCAACACTCTGTTGGGCACCATCCCTGCATCGCTGGTCAACCTCCAGCAACTCATTATCATGTGCGCCACTCCACCTTCCTCTTTGTTGTGTCTAGCAATGTTTCACGTATGCTCTGTCACTTGCGTACGCAAGTAAATAAAGTTTGCTTTACGTGAATGAGTGTCAATCGGAAGTTCACATGGTCGAGAGAAAAGCTCTGTTCTATATTAGCTCTGTTCTGCTGCTGTTCAGGCATGACTTCTCAAAGACAAGTGGACGACAGTGCACGGCTCTCGTAAAGGGTAGTTTACATAGTCACTCATGAAAGTTTCCATTCTTTGTGCACGGCATCGCAGGTCGATGCCGTATAACCTCCTCGTTGGAACGATTCCTGCAGCCTTCAGCACTCTCACTCGACTCGAACAGCTGTACGTGCTCTCGCATGGTCCCTGTGCCACGTTTGGGACCCGGGAGTGCACAGAGCACACCTTCCACTCCTCTGCAACCTCCACAGCCCTCTTAATCACTGGCCGCTTCAGCCTTTTCTCATCAGCAGGTTCTCAGCTTCTCGTTGGCATCCACCACTTGCCACCATTAGTCACTGCTCAACGCATGCACACACATCCTTGCACGCCTGCACATATATGCATGCACGCGTGCACACACATGCACGCACGCGCACGCAAACACACACACACACACACACACACCCACACACACACACACACACACACACACACACACACAGACACACACACACACACACACACACGCACACACACACACGCACGCACGCACGCACGCACGCGTATGCACACAGAAATACTCTCAAAACCGCTCACACGCACACGCACACGCACACGCACACGCACTCTCCTTTCTCTATCACATGCCACCACTGTGGACACTGCTAGTCGACCAGTATGTCGTGTTTGGGGATTGCACCCTAGAATGTCGCTCGTCAGCAGATTCCCTTGTTTGAATCTAACCCACAAATATGGTTGGTTCCTTGGGTTAACACACTCGAACCTAGTACCGCCAGCAGCATTTGAGGTCCGATGTAGAGGTAGGCTCCCCCCAACCCCTTTAAGTAAGTCTCCTCCTATGTGCTCTGTCGAACCCTTTGGCTAGTGCAAGCAACTTATTCAACCATCAAAGGAAGGCACCTCACACAGTCCTTCTGCATGTCCGCCCTTTCCTCGGACCCCTCTTCACCTCCTCATACCCCACCCATTGCTCACCCCCATTCGAACACCCCCCCTCTTTCCATTCCCCCTCCCCCCTCTTCCACACCCAACCCCGACTGAATTTTCCCGGCCCAGCGACCTAGAGTCGAACCAGCTGGTGGGGCAGCTGCCTTCCATGAAGCTCATGCCACGGCTGGAGATCGTGGATGCCAGCAACAACTTCCTCACAGGCGCAGCAGGCCCTCCCCCACCATGCCCTCCGTACCAGCTGCTGCTGCAAGCAAACTGCTTTGCCCACAACCTCACCATCTGTGGGCAGCAGCAAACGCAGGATCTTAGTGATTGTTATTACTTCTGTGAGAACGTTGATCCTTTAGACCCTCCGTGCAGCGGCCACGGCGTGTGCTACATACTGCCTTTCAGCACTCCCAAGTGTTCGTGCGACTACGGTTATACGCGTGGAGCTGCCAATTACACATGTGTCCCGGAAGGTACGGTCAGCAGACCCCATTTCCTCACATTGTGTGCTTTCGAAGTGAACATGTATTGGTTCTTGTTATGAACCATATGCTTCTGCAATGCGCCATTCACCCTGTTCGCTGATTCCCCAGCGTCCTCTCACTGCTACATGGCACACCATCTGCTTTTCCTTCTATATACAATCTATATCCTCCACTATTTTTATTCATGTCTACTGTCATGCAGGCCCGTACATTCCCTCCCTCCTCACTTCCTACAAAAACCCGATGACTGTCTTCCAGTCAGCCTCCTCTACTCCCAACGGCTCCATCTTTCTCTCCTCTGCACCATCCACTGCATCATGGGGAGCAGCTTTCACGCAGCAGCCCATCGCTCTCTTCCTCCCCACCACCCGCGCACTGCCCTGCAACCAGCCCATTTCTTTCTCTGTCTACTTCGCCTTCCGAATGACCCCTACTGTGGAGGATGCTGGTTCATACAGCAGCAGCAGCAGCACAGGGGGAGAGGGCCTGGCGTTTGTTGTGAGTGCGACGGCACCGCAGGGGGCTGGTGCAGCAGGGGTGGGGCTGGGAGGGGTGGGGAGGCGGAGTGTGGCGGTGGAGTTTGACTCGGTGCTGAGTGTGAAGCACAGCGACCCCAACGACAACCACGTGGGCGTCAATGTGGGCGGCTCACCTGTGTCCCTCGCCTCTGCCACGGCCCCTCTCATCCTCAACGACGCCCACACCAAGCACGCCTGGATCCACTACGACCCCACCAGCGGCGGCACCCTCCGAGTCTTCCTCTCAGCTTCCAGGCAGCAGCCGTCCAAGGCTGTGCTGACGGCCAGAGTGTCTCTCTGCAGCGCGCTCAAGCCCACCGCAGCCAATGCCTCTTTCCTCTTTGGCTTTGTGGCCGGTGCCTCCGCGAGCAACACTCAGAGGCATGACATCCTGTCGTGGAAGATTGTCACTGGTATTACGCCATCTGCGGTGCAGCTTCACGCAAGATGTGCCACTAATGACCTCAGATACAGCTCTCCTTTGTGCCTTCTTGTCGCCTTATGTATTAATCCTCTTCATTCTAAGCATGCATGTGGTGTGTGTGTGTGTGTGTGTGTGTGTGTGTGTGTGTGTGTGTGTGTGTGTGTGTGTGTGTGTGTGTGTGCGCGTGGGTTCATGCCTGGTCATGTCTGCCCAACTGCATATGTGCTGGCTGTACAGGAATACTCCCTCCTGTGGACTGGCAGAACGAGCCTCCTGGTGAGGTCTTCGCTCATCAATGTTCTACCTCCCATGATCTGCAATCCCATCTCATGCATCTCATTTTGATATTGTATTCGCCCTGTCCATTCAGATCAAACATCTGCTTGAATCAACTGATGCAAAGCCAGCCCTGTTTGTCTCCTCAATCCACCACTGCGCCCCACCAGGCAGTAAATTTGGACTTGTGGCATCGGCAGAGGAGGTGGCAGTTGGCAGTGAGGGCGAGAGTGTGCCCTCCTCCTTCCACTATGCCAGCCTTGCCTTCCTCCCCGATGCGGATGGGCTTCCTTCCTGGAACGTTCCCTTGTTTGTTTCGTGGATGCGGGACGAGTCCTCATGGCCTGTTAAGAACCAGCATGGATGTGGTATGGCATGGATGTGGCATGGCATGGATGGGGTGTGGCATGGATGTGGTATGGCATGGATGTGGTATGGCATGGATGTGGTATGGCATGGATGTGGTATGGCATGGATGTGGTATGGCATGGACGTGGTATGGCATGGACGTGGTATGGCATGGATGTGGTATGGCATGGATGTGATATGGCATAAACGTAGTTTATGGCATGAATGTGATACGGCATGGACGTAGTATAGCATGTATGCGGTATGGTTTGGATGGGATATGGTGTGGACAAGGTACGGCGTGGATGGGTTATGGCATGGACGGAATATGGCATCGAGAGGGTGTGGCGTGGATGTGGTATGGCACGACCCACTGACTGTATCGCTGAGCAAGCTAGCCCTCACCAGCACCTCTTTAGCCGTCTTCCTTCCCTTCCCTGCGCGCTCCTCCCTAAGTAACCCCCCCTCCCTGCATGTCTCTCCCTGCTCGACCCTCCTGGGGCTGCAGCCGACTCCTCGGCATACGCAGTGGTGGCGGCGGTGGAGGCAGCCTACAGCATCGCAGCCAACTGGTCACAGCCCCCCACGCTGTCGGTGGAGCAGCTTCGCCTCGATCTCTCCTCCAACTGTGCAGACATGCCCCCTCGGGATGTGCTGGCCTTCCTGGTGGCTGCCACGCGCAAGGGAGGGGGGCTCGTGGATGACCAGCGGCAGCAGCAGCAGCAGGAGCAGCAGCGCAAGCGAGTCAACATAGCATGGCGTCTGCGGGACGGCGGGAGAGGCTGCTGGTGAGCCAAGGCTAGCATGGCATAACCAGTTTCAGTTATCGAGTATACGTTTGCACAAACCTGATGTTTACTTTATTCTTTGTTTTCGCCAATGGCTGAATATTAGCCTCCACCTCGCCCTCATCTGCGTTGCATGCCTTTCAGAAGCCGAAGCTATATGGGATCCAGGGGTTTGAGGAGAGCTCCTTTGGAGGATGGCTGGGACTGCTCCTGGCAGTGCAGCGGCAGCCTGTGGTTGTGCGAATGGAGGCATCCGCAACATCGTTCCTTGAATACGACGGGGTGAGATGCCATTGCTCTGTGACCAGGTGAGGTGTTATGGCTCTTTCATGCCTTGAGGTACCATGGCTTTGAGCATGTCACAAGTGTACTTAGAGAGACGTACGAGTGGCTGCAGTCACGCAGGAATGGCAAATCTGTGAATCTTATATTGTTTTCCAGGTGACTCAACTTGAGCTGCTGCCTCTTCCATCTCCTCTACCTCCCATTCGCTGCTCCCACCCCACCATGCAGACATACAAGTATGCAGATAGCGGCTGTTTCCAGGAAGGGGTGAACCACGCAGTGCTGCTGGTGGGATATGCTGTGAAGGGCAGTGCGTCGAGCCCTTTCAGCCTGCCTGCGCCTCTCTGGGTGATCCGCAACTCATGGGGCAGTGGGTGGGGAGACGCAGGGCACATGGTCATGGATATGCAGAGCGGTGCAGGCGTCTGTGGGATCAACACACTGCCAGGCATCTTCCCCATTCTCAGATGTAAGCTCAGGGTCAATGGATTAGGGCTCCGTATAAATCCTCTGCATACATGGAGAGTGCAACAGCTGCTGTGCTGCTGCTGAGGGTCTCATGCATCTCTTCGCCACATTGCATGTCAGGCGGAGAACTGGTGGCCATGCTGCAGACTACAGGCAATACGCCCTGCAATGAGCCATGCATGCTGCTGTATTATTCATGCTGCTTCTCTCATGTGCGTGGTTTGCCTCTGGCAGCTGCTGCTGACCCGTGTGGCAGCAAATCCGTGCTGTTAGAAGGTTCACTGGGAGTGGCAGGGAGCAACGCGTTCAACCCGTGTGGGCAGTTCAAGTGCTCCAAGGCCGGAGCATCCAACCGCTGTGCCTGTGCTGCTCCCCACTTCGTCCAGACCTCCCACCCCGACGGCTCCAACACCTGCGCCTATGGTGAGCCCATGCCAACTCTCCCGCACAATTTCCACCCTCATGTGATATTTCTCTGTGTCATACCTTAATAAACTTCTGCTCTCCCCCTTTTTCCTTCCCATGCCTGCCAGTGGACGCCTGTGGGCTGGCAGGCAGCAACCCGTGTGTGGTGGGCACGTGTGTGAACGATGGCAAGGGCAGCTACTCCTGTGTGTGTCCCCCAGGGTTCGTTCAAGGCACCACCGCCAAGGGAACCCTCTCCTGTGCTCCTGGTACGTTCCTCTTCGCCCCTCTTCTGCTCTTCCTCGCCCCTCTACTCTTCCTCGCCCCACTTCTGCCCTTCCTCGCCCCACTTCTGCCCTTCCTCGCCCTTCTTCTGCCCTTCCTCGCCCTTCTTCTGCCCTTCCTCGCCCCTCTGCTGCTCCGTCGCGCCTCCCTGCAGCTTCCCCGTGCCCCTCGGCTGCTCTGCCACTGATTACGAAGCTGTAATTGCTACGTTTGGGGATGATGCTGCCAAAAAATGTTATAGACAGTCCCATGCTCTGCTGATGTGCATTGCGTGCGAACATGCATGCTGTGGTGATGCATCCAGGTGACAGCAAGGGCAGCTACACGGTGCGTGGTAGCAATGTGTGGTGCTCTGACCTGATCCCTGCTCTTGGCCTCACACTGGACCAGCTCAAGCAGCAGAACAAGGTGAGCATGCGTCTAGATCATTCTGCCAACACTCTACCACCATGTTTTGTAACATGACTTCATGGAACATCCTCTTGTCCTTCCTGCATGCAGAAACTCTCTTGCTCCAAGCCCATCCCACTGGGATCTAAGCTGAGTGCCAAGCTGCCTCAGTCACGTTCCACCTGCTCCCTCTTCTACACCACCCAACCTGTGAGTGTGCCCACCCCGCCCCATATCCCTAACCTCCACCTCTTGTCTTGCTTGCATGGAGTGAACACTCCCACAGTAATTGCAAGACTGAGCGAGACATAAGTGATAGTCAATTCACTCATGCCTGTGGCCTTTGTTGTGCACAGGGCGATAGCTGTGCATCGATTGCGCTGCTCTTTGGTTTAAGTGAGGGGTGCCTTGTGGAGGGCGAGCCATGTGGGGAGGCGTTGGTGGGGCTCAACCCGGGGCTGGATTGTGCAGCACTCAAGGGAAGGCATGCCGTGTGTGTGGAGCGGGAGGAGAGCAACGCGGGGGTGGTGGCAGTGTGTGAGGAGCAGTATGAGCTGCAGGGCAGTGGCGGCTGTGATGCTGCTATGACGGCCGTGGACCCTTCTTTGAGCCCCTTGGAGTTCTACCGCCTCAACCCAGGCATCAACTGTGACAACCGCCTGCCGATCGCTTCAGTAGAGGGCTACTCACAGCGCAAGGTGAGCAGCGCTACATGGTGCCTGGTGTTACCACACAGTCGCTCCCCGCACTGACAGCTCAAGGGGGTTTCTCATCCTCCTGCCACCCTTGCACCTGTGCTGCAGGTGTGCATTGGCAGCAGCATATGGCACAAGACTGGCATATGTCCTGGGGGCACCTACAGTGTTGCAGCTGGAGACAGCTGTGCCATGATTGACGTGAAGGGCTTTGCCAGCATCAAGGGGTGCTACAGGAAGATCAATGGATTCGAGTGCCTGGAGAAGATGCCTCCTGGGACAATTGTGTGCACCCCTGATACTTCCAATGCCCGGGTGGGGAATTGCTCGATGTAGGAAATAGTTTGAGTTCGTTTGATGCGGTATAACAGAAACCAGCCAAAATAAGGCACCCCTACCCACATAAGCTGCCCGGGGCTTCTTTACTGTGCCAAATGGCTCATTCGGGTGTGGCTGATGCTTTGGCTTGGCACTACCTGCCTTGTCGGCGTGTGCCTGTTTTGAATCATCTTTTTTAGATGGGGGAATAGTGTAAGGAAATTGTTATTTCCTTTTGAGTTTACAGTACACTATGTGCAAGTCAAACAACTCCAACGTCCAAGTTTTGTTCGGTTTGATTTTTTTTTTGCTTATATGATTTATACACCAGAACAAAAGTGTACAATGCATAAACAATCGTAACTGTGCAAGAGAGACGAGGAGGCCCGCCTCAGAATATTTGATCCTCAGACATGGATCCGGGGCCTACGTGGTTTGCCCCAAACTGCCGCGAAACTGTTGGACCACTTCCAACCTTTGCCATCCACCACCCTCATGCGATTCAGAAGGTCACGTTCCTGCTCCGTCATTTTCTGCCACCTGGCATGCTGAGTCAGAGGTCCACTGGGGATCCCCGATGATCCTAGGGAAGGGTTACAGGCACGTCGGTCTGGGGGGTTATGGGCGCACTCACCCGCTATGTAAACAAGCCCTTTTATCCCAGTGGTTAGTGGCTGGGATTCTGACATGGTATCAGAGCGAAGGTCTCGGGTTCGATTCCCGGTGTGTGCACCTCGGGCATCCCAGTGCGGGGGGGTGTCAGAGGTCCACTGGGGATCCCCGATGATCCTAGGGAAGGGTTACAGGCACGTCAGCCTGGGGGGTTATGGGCGCACTCACCCGCTATACAAACAAGCCCTTTTATCCCAGTGGTTAGTGATTGGGATTCTGACATGCTGCCCTTTCCTGCGCTGTTGCAGTCTCGCTGCCAAGGCACGTACATAGGCATTCACATGCAAACGAAAGGCTGACTCAATCCGCCGCAACACCCTTCGCGTGCGGAATTTGCAGCTTCTGAAAGCCCCTTCACTTCTCTCCGCCCATAGCTGATGACCTGCCTCTCGATGCTCTCCCGAGTCACCTTCAGGGTTGGCGAACACCAACAAGCTTCCAACCTTTACTTCAGAGGTCCTCGCCCTGCTAGGATCACTCCTGTCTCGTTTGAAGAATGTGATAAGACATTATATATAACCACTCTTCAATATTGACTTCTACACTCTTTCATAACAGTTTCAAATGATTATAAATGTTACACGCCCTTACAGTTTTGATAACGCAACTCTCGCAAAACGGAATAGTGTGCTTTTTAGGGTTAGCGACTCGTATCTCGAGCAAATTCCGAAATCACAACTGCCGCCATTAGCGCCGTGTCCGTTGTTGGTCGCGCAGAAGTTACTCGCCCTTAACTTACGGTATAATCAGTGACTGGTTCCCTGCTAGCGAGCCTGCGTAGTCTTGATGCGTCCGTAATTGTCGCAAATTCAGCTTAGTCGATGCTCCAGATGTGGACAGGAGCGGATTCCGCTTTGCCGCTGCACAAGCGCGCCGCTTCATGTGCCCACAAGTGATGGTCTCCCAGTTGCATGCTCGTCTGATTCGCGGTCGTGTTCAGCATGCCGCGTTGCCAACAACAGGTGCTGGGAATGAGAGGCGCCGGCGCGTGTCTAGGATATCAACCTGCAAGGCCCTGCACGGGCGAAATAAAGGTAGACAAGCCTCGCTATGGCGCCGCCTGCGGAAGAGCTCTCACGGGTGGCAAAGAGAGATGATGGCCGCCAACAACGCGCGGTGCTTCCCGCTTCCTCTCATTGCCCGCGTTGTCTCCACCTCTGCATGCACGTCGCCTCCCTCCTGCCCCTTGCACCCCTTCCCGCGCCCCTGAGAGAGTGACCGCTAGCACCACGGTAGCAAGTATGGCCCACCACTCATGAAAAATGACTGTATGCCGTTTCCTAGGACCTTAGAAAACAAAAGGACTTTCCCTGTCAGCAATGTATCCTTCACGTGGCAGCTGGTTCACAGGCACTCGCACAGGAGAGACTGGCATAACCCTTGTTGAAGGTCACAAGTAAGACTGGCTTAAGGGGCGCTCAATCGTACCCCAAGGCCCTTTCGAGCCGAGCAGCCTAAATCCTTCCCTGGAATGGAGCTTTCCGTATCGCAAACGAGACAGAGTCGGTGCCTGTCACATAGCAGCACAGCACCTGAGGTTCAGGATGCAATGTGATTACAATGTGATTATCCCATGCCATAGCACTCTCTGCGACTACGTTTGCGTATGCCTAGCTGGCTACTTGCCTATCCCATTCTCGTTCATGCAGCCTCAACCCTCCTTCCATTCCCTGGTGCAGGGAAAGGTCATCTACTGGTTTCCTGCCATGCACTCACACGCCCTCACAGGCTGCTGCTGATTCTGCTGCCGCTGCTGTGCATGTCTGGGGAGCCATCCGCGCAGGTTATCGAGTCCTCTCAACGTACGTACGGTGCCTGCGAGACTGGTGGGTTGGTCTAGACATGAACGAGCATTCTGGAAGTGAAGATGTCTGTTTTGGCTTGACATGGTCGAGCTTCGTTTTCAGTTGTATGTATTCGAGTCGAGTTTTTTTTTAGTCGACTCTGCCTTTTGGAGGCAAAGATTGAGTCTACCTGATTCGATTTGAGTGACGCCTCTGGTTTGAGTTGAGTGACGCTGGGTAACACCCCCATTGCCTTCCCACCCCCCGTCATCCCCCTTTCCCCCCTCTTTCCCCCCCACCCTCCCCCTCCTCCCTCCCCTCTCTCCCCTTTCCCCTCCACCCTCCACCCCTCCCCCCCCAGAGCTGTGCCTGCCACTGAAGTGCCAGGTTCGCACGGCTCTGGCGGCAAATTGTCAGATCCGAGCAAATTTGTTGCCGAAAAATTTTCATCAGTATGCTTGAACTTGTTGTGAAAGCAAAAAAATGCTCGTGAGAAATGACAAGTCGAGTTTCAAATACTCGACTCGACTCGACTTGGCTGAGTAAAAACAATTCGTGCAGGCTCATGACCCCTTGTTTCCGCCAGTACAGTAGAGGAGTTTATATTTTATCTTACTTGAGTTCGTCTGTTGATGTCTTGGTGGTCTGTCAACAGCTTGATGCGATGGCAGCCTGCTGTGCTGTGCCATGGCAGGGACAAGCCATGCTTTGACGTATGGTAGTGGACACCGCCCCCCTCACTGAGCATTTGAGCTTCCTATCTATCCCATAAGCACGGCTCCTATCCTTGTGGTGTCCACGCTGCGTTTATTGCATCCTCGTACCAGGTCAACTTGCTGTTTTGTGTACTATTCTCCATCTGCTCGCATGCTTCTCACTGCACTCTTCATGCCTTCAGATGCTGTGTTGAGAGCCCTTAAGGCCGAGTGGGGCTCTTTCTATGGAAGTGACACATGGGAGGCTGGGTATTGCGCCTTGATGCAAGGCGTTACCTGCAACAAGGATGGCTGCCTTACGTCTTTGTAAGCACTTATTATAAAAGCTCGACCATTCTGTTCCTGTGTCTTGGCACCAGAGACAGATGCAAGCTCGGACAATTAAATCACGTCACTGCGCTCTGCAATATTAGAACTCCCCAGTCATGCATGCCACTTCCTATGAGTTGAGCCTGTACATTGAGTTTACACGCCCTGAGTCGAGCCAGGCTTGCCTTATGCTGGACTTGGCTCGACCACTAGTCGAGCCATGTTGGGATGTGTTTGATAGGCGTTTCCAGTGTCCTATACGGCAACGTCAAAGCGCTTGCTCCTAGATGCCATGCGCTAGATTCCAGAAACCACAGACGCTGGACTGGGATAATTCTTGGGCGGGCAGGCAAAGTAACACATGGGAAGTTGTACGTACGTGTGCAGGAGGTGATGTGCTGATGATTGGGTTGGGTTTACCAGATACTGTGTTGTGATGTGTGGTGGGGGTTTGGAGATTTATTTGGATTCGATGGGTACGCATGAGAAGTTAACCAAACCAAACTGATTCAGTTATTAGCTTGCCATTAACGAACTGGTTCGGTGTCGAACCAAACTGGTTAAAAAACAACCGGTCAGGGGTCTCACGGAGATTTGTCAACACGTACATCTGGCATTTTGCACCAAAAGTCAAATAAGATCTAACATGGGAGTCGGGTCACAACTTGATGAGCCAAGTTCAGCAGGGCTTGACTCATAGCTCAGCAGCTTGGGCAAGCTGGGCTTGATTTGATTCAGCTAGGCTTGAGCCAACACGACCTGGCTTGCAAGCCAGGTTTGACTCGGTGGATCCGTTGAGGTGAGCGATGACGGGCCATGGCGAGTCGAGTTTGTTGAGCCGAGTCAGGCCTGGCTCAACGTGTTTGGCTTCGGCGACTCAAGCCAGGCGTGTCGACGGTTTTTGTCATCTGAAGCAACTCGCCATTACTCGAATCGAGCCAAACATCAAGACGAGAGAAGTAAGACTTTACTAGAAGTGGCATCAAGCCGGAAAGTGCCGCCGCAACTCGCCTCGTTGCTCATCTCTACACAAAGTCCCACTTCATACCCCAGAAACTCAATTCCGGCTGCTGCTGCTGCTTCTTCATTGTGTGTTGTGGCATTAGGAGTGTCGTTCAACAAACTCTCTCGAGGCCGATCCCTTCTTGCATAAGTGCCCTGACCTGCCTTCAGTCGTTGTAAGACCACTACCATGGATTGGCCCACACACTATCAGCCATTCAAGCTCGCTGCCTTGCCACGTCTAGTGAAAGTATTATTGCTTTCCATAATTCAAGCATCTCTGGAAGTCTGCCGCCGTTCTGACTGCTGCAACTGTGCTGTTGCATAGCCCTGCCCACATCTATGTATGCGTGTCTGCCTCTGCCGGTACTTGCACTTGTGATTGCGTTTTTGCTTGTGCATCTGCCTTATTGTTGTGCGTCTGCCTGTGGCTGTGTGTGCCATCAGTGCCTAAACCAATGCCTGTGCTGTTCCTGTGCCAAAGCTTGAGTCCATCCGTGAGCCTATCCGTGTTCATCCTGCATGCAGCACTCTGGTTGACTGCCAATTGACGGGGTCAATTCCATCCTCCCTCTTCACCCTGCACACACTCACCAAGCTGTAAGACACACCATAGCGGAGCAGATGGATCATGGGTTGGACGGTAGCCGTGCAAGGATGATTGTAAGAAGTTAGTTGAATGGATGTAGAGCAAGTAGCAGATGTCTAGAATCATGGTTTGGTTGTGATAACAAAAGGTTCTACTCTGCACTCACCCAGCTCTTAACCGATAGCATACCGAACGATTTGGAGTTGTTTTCCCGCTCCTTGGTGAACTCACATTTTTAAGGCTGAAACCCAACAATGGCTCGAACCAAGTCTAACCGGCCTATCTATGAACGGAAGTGATCCGATTGATTTGAACCAGAACAGAAGGGAGGCCTGGGTGGGGCGTGCAGGGGGATGGGGGATCAGATTTGCCTGATGTGGTCGAGCCTTTTCCAGTTTCAGGTCAAAACCTATGCAGTTCGACCTGAACCCGTTCGGGTTTGGTTCAACGAGAACACTTCGTCCTGATATTATCGCGAAGATCCAGACACATGTGAATCTGGGTGCAAAATCCAAGATTTCCAGGTCCCACAGAGTTGAGTGAAAGTTCCGCGTGGTCCTGGCAACAGAACAGAAACCGCAAAAACCCTTTCATCAGAGGCTCTTACTCTCCAGGCCAAATTTCAGTGCCGAATCCCTGTCGACTTGATGCGAACCAAGATCTTGTCGGGTTGAGAAGTCGAATCGAACTGAACCGTTTTGTGCAGGGCTGAGTAAAGCCTTTTGTGTAAAACAGAGAAGCAGATTGGTTCAAGTTGTACACTCCATTTCCACCTTCCGAGCCTCTGTTATGAATGTCTTGCGCATTGGTGAATGGCGTGCTCATCCTGCCCTGGATTCTGTATATTTGTGCTTCAGGGAGCTTGACGGCAATGATCTCTCTGGCTCTATCTCTGCCAGTATCAGCAGATTGACCAACCTTGAACACCTGTGAGTTTCCAACAGTCTGTCTCATCTCAAGTTGTTGTATGTCTTAGAGTATGCATTCATCACGGGTTATAAGAGATTTTGACTATGTGGAGGAAGTGTACATGCGCGTTTGAGACTTAAACTATTGTCAACAGCCCCCTTCGCGTGGAATGGAGTGCTCTAGCACATGAGTGGCAGGGCAGATGCTTGCTTGTAGCGTCATGTCTCTTTCTGGCCACAAGTTCAGATGGCAACCTGCCAGCACAAGTGGATGAACCAAACATTACAGTTTTTCTACATCTGCCTGCTTCGATTGATAGCAGTTCGACGGATAGTAAACCGGGGACTTTTGTCATATCTATCCCAATTTTTACTTTGCTTTGCAATCTCTTCTGGTGCTTTCAGCTCAATTCAGGGAAATATGCTGGATGGCTCAATGCCTGTGGGAATGTCATGCTTGAAGAAGCTCAATCTCCTGTACGTTGTTGCTGCTGCTGCTGCTGCTGCTGTTGTTGTGGTGCATTGCAATGGCAGTATTTGCTCCACTTACGCACTCTCCTTTCCAGATGGTTTTTTCAGAGGCGCTTCTTATCTAGCAAGAGTAATGGACTCAGTGTTCTTCGCCAAGGACATTTTCAATCATGTACGAAGCGCGAATCGAGCATCCTCAGTTCAGGCTGAACATATTTTTCGCAAATGGATGCTCAGTCAGTGTTCGACCCAAACCTGTTGGGAATAGATATGACAAAAGTCCCTGGTTTACTATCCGTCTCAAACATGTTCAGGATCAGTTCGGTCCCATACATTTAATTCAGTACATCAATTTTCTGCACCCTCATTGTGAATCCACGGGTGCATGCCTGTGGCTCCATGCAGAAAACTTAGCCACAACGCCCTCTCAGGGCCTCTTCCCCAGTTCGTTTCATCTCTCACCAACCTTTGCACCTTGTAAGCACCGCTTCTTAGCATATTGAGGATTTGTGCGTGCGAATCACAGCTTCCCGTGACCCCTTCTAACCCTAACGTATCACACATACACTTCAATAATCTAGGCTGTCATAACTTAGGCTTAGAACTGATACATTAGTAGTGAGCTCAAAGCTCTTTAAGTACATCAGGAATGAGCAAGGTAGGGATGAGAGGGGAATCAGGGGGCAATCCTAGGGAATCAAGGGTAATCCCAAGGCAAGCTCCAATTGGTGGGTTGGAGATTGCTTGGAGATTACATTTGGGTTTGGTTGGGATGTGGGTGTACACCCAACCAAACACAAAGTGCAAACTACACTAAACTAAACTAGGATATAAAAGTACAAGTACAAATTGTGAGATTGAGGGCTAACACCAACACCCCCCCATAGGCGTCAATCGAACTCAGGGTGGAGAAGGAGGAGCGCAGAGCCCCATGGCGCCTAGAAGGCGATGGTGAGGGACCTTCCCAAGGGGCTTGGTGAACAGATCAGCCAAGTTGCAGTCGGAAGCCACATACTCCACATTGAGCTGCTCTCGCTGGACAAGGTCACGGATAAAGAAGTGACGAAGTTCGATGTGCTTGGTGCGAGTGTGGTACACGGGGTCCTGGGAGAGGTGAATGGTGCTCTGGTTGTCACACCAAAGGGTGGGAGTGGACTAAGGAAAGCCAAGCTCCTGGAGTAGGAATGTGAGCCAGCGGGCCTCCTGAGCCGCCATGGTGCCGGCATAGAGTTCGGCTTCATAGGAGGATAGGGAGACTGCAGGCGACCGGGTGGAGCGCCAGCTGACAATCCCGCTCCCAAGGGTGAAGCAGTAGCCTTGGGAGGAGCGTCGGTCGGTCTGGTCATCTGCCCAGGAGGAGTCCGTGTAACCTTCCAGTCGAGGAGGGGAAAGCCCACCAAGGGTGAGGACATGAGACTTGGTGCCCTGCAGATAGCGCAACACCCGCTTTGCCCCTTTCCAATGAAGGTCTGTGAAGCGCCCAGGAGCCACATATCGAGAGAGGACACTGACAGGGTATGCCAAGTCAGGCCGGGTGCACATCATGGCGTACGTGAGGGACCCAACAAGTTCTGGGTACGGCTCGGTGCATGCCTCTGGTGTGGGTACAGCTGGGGCGGTGAGGAGGTGTTGTAGCGGCAGTGGGGTGGCGATAGGTGTGCACAGCTCCATCTCAAACCGCTTGAGCACATTGTTGATGTAGAACTCATGGGAGAGAGAGATGGTGCGAGCCTGGCGATCGCGAGTGATTTCCATCCCCAGGTAGTGTTTGAGGTCACCGAGGTCTTTCATCAAGAGGGCCTTGCTTAGGGCCTCCTGAACAGAGGCCATCTGGGCCGAGTCCTTGGCAACGAGGATGAAGTCATCGACGTAGACAAGGATGTAGAATGGCTCAGAGTGGCGACGAATGAAGAGGGTCGGGTCGGCAGAGGATGGGTGAAAGTCCAGTGAGAGAAGAACTTCCTTCACTTTGTTGTGCCATTCCCGAGGGGCTTGCTTGAGGCCGTAGACAGGGCGATTCAGCTTCCAGACAGTGTTGGGAGGGAACTCTCCTGGAAAGCCTTCAGGTCGATCCATGAATACAGTTTCCTTGAGGCGTCCTTGTAGGAAGGCCGAAGATGCGTCCATGGATTTGATCTCAAAGTCTTCTCGTGCTGCTACATCCAAGAGCGTGCGAACAGTGGGTGGTTTGGATGTGGGGGAGAAGGTCTTGAAGAAGTCCAGGTACTGCTGCTGGGTGAACCCTTTGGCCACGTAACGCGCTTTGAACTCGGGGGCCTCGTCCGGAAGCTGTTTCACTCGAAACAACCACTTGCCACCAACGATGTTAACTCCTGGGGGTGGAGTTTCGTCGTCGAAGGAGTGGTGGTTGCGGGTGAAGGCTTCAATCTCAGCTTCCATGGCAGCTCGGCATTCGGCAGCATGGGGACCCGAGAGAGCCTCTTGAACGGTGAGGGGGATGGGGATGGTCGGGTTCTCCGTGAAGTTGAGTGAGGGTGAGTCAGTGATGTCGGGGAAGATGTGCGAGAGCTGAGGAGTGACTGCATGGAGATCACATAGCTCCTCATGCCTGTCTTCCAGAAGGGTAGAAGGCATATCCCCCCCAGCAGGAGGAGGCGGAGTGATCGCTGTGCAGCGAAGAACCAGGGCCAGCGGAAGAGCAGCGCCGTGCGAGCGAGTGTGATGAGCCACCGGAGAGGAGGGTGGAGCAGGTGGTGTCGAAGGGGTTGGTTTGGGAGACTTGGGCGGGGGAATTGGGCGCCGCTGGTACGTGATTACTTTGGGCGACTGTGGTGGAGCGGGTGCCTGGGTGGAAGAGGGGACTGGTGGAGGAGGTGGGGCCGGAGGGTTCGACCGCCGATGGTATGTGATTGGTGCGCTCGGAGGGGGCGGCACAGCTGGCAGAGGGGAAGGGGAGGGGAATAGGGGAGATGCTGCCGAAAACACCGGTGAGGTCGGGTCAGAGACCGCAGAGGGGGATGGTGCGAAGGTAGGAGAGGTAGGGGTGGAGGGGGCAGGTGCAGGCGGGAGGTCGGGAGGCGCATCAAAGTCTGCCCAGACGAGAGAGGGTGGGTCAGAGGGACGATCCTGACCCGAGGTGGAGTAGAATGGGCGGGTCTCATCAAAGACCACGTCGCGGCTCCGAACTAGCTGTTGGGTGGAGGGGTTGAGGAAGAGGTAGTCAGGGGAGTCGGCATTGTGCCCAAGGTAGACGCACGTCTGAGTCTTGGGGCCGAGTTTGCCACCGTGCTGCCGCCTAGCCTGAGGGTTGAGGAGGACATAGGCGGTGCACCCCCAGACGCGAAGAGAGCGAGCAGTGGGTGTTTTCCCAAGCCAGAGTGTGGTAGGAGTGGTGTCGGGAAGATGCGGATGGGGGTAAAGATTGTAGAGGAGGGCAGCATGGTAGAGGGCGTATCCCCAGAGAGAGAGTGGAGCATTGGAGTGGCTGAGGAGGCACCGAGTGATTTGCACCAGGGTGTGGTTGCGGCTTTCTGCTATGCCGTTCTGCTGCGGGCTGTCAGGAAGGGTGAAGTTTTGCTGGATGCCTTCTGAGGAGCAGAAGGCTTTGAGCTTGTCGTTGCAGAATTCACCCCCCCCATCCGAGTGAAGGCGCTTGACCTTGCGGTCAAAAGTGGTCTGTGCCTGCTTAACCCACGCTATGATGACCTCTGGAGCCTCAGCCTTAGTGTGGAGGAGGTGAACAGAGACGTAGCGGGAGTGGTCATCCACGATAACAAGGAAGTAGCGATAGCCACCTCGTGCGAGAACAGGGGCAGGGCCCCAGACGTCCATGTGCACGAGGTCCAGCGGTGCTGCTGCGACTGTGGGTGAGGCAGGATGGGGCTGTTGGCGCAGTTTGCTCTTGGTGCAATCAAGGCACGTGGGAGCGGGTGAGTCAGGTGGTGGAGGAAGTGCGACTGTCAGGCCGAGGAGAAGTTTCTTGGAGGCCATGTCAGCAAGAGTGCGGAAATTTGGGTGCCCGAGCCGATGGTGGTAGAGGATGGTCGGGTTGGAGAGGGTGCGACATGAACATGGTGTGATAGTGGGTTGTGCTTGGGTGGTTGACACCTGTGGGAGAGGGACGCGTAGCGTGTAGAGGCCGTTGCTATTGAGGGTGTAGCGGGCCAGGGTTTTGTTGGTGCGTGGATTAATGATGTCGCAATAGTCCTCGTTCTCTGGGAAGATGGTGCGTAGCCCTGCCTCCTGAATTTCTGTTTGGGCAACTAGATTGTGACGCAGTGAAGGCACGCACATGCCAGTGACAGTGCCAGATGGGAAGGCAGGACACGGGACTGTGGATGTACCCTTGGCAAGAGTGGTGAAGCTTGAGTCAGCTCCTAAGAGAGGAATGGGTGTTGCGTAGGGTTTGAAGGAGAGTGTCTCCTTGAGCACAGTGTGAGTGGCCCCGCTGTCGAGTGTGAACTCTATGTATTGTGGTGCCTGTGATGAGCCGATGTACTGGGAGGTAGCTTCATTAATCATGGCAGTGCCAGGGAACAACAGGTTGATACGCACATCAGCAGGAGCACTATCATCAGCACTAGCCGAAGCGGGGTCCTGGACCTCAACTAGGTTGGCCTTACGAGGGCGCATCCAGTTTGGCGGCTTCTTGTCAACTCCGTGGAGGGCATACCACTCGTCGTCTTTCTTCTTGAAGCACGTAGCAAGGGGGTGGTTAGTGCCACCACACACTTGTCCCTTGCGGTTGCCATACTTGACGACGTAGGGGCACGGAGGAAAGCGGTTGCGCTGGAAGGGCGCCGAGGCGAGAGCCGCTGCGACACTTGCTTGGGGCATGGGAGCGCGGATGGCGTACGCCTTGGCCTGAGCCGTGGAGTCTTTCTCGGCAGAGAGGAGTGCGGTGGAGACCTTAGCAAAGGTGAGGTCTTCCGCTGAGAGCGTGAGGAGCATCTTCCTCGTGACTTCATATGCCGAGGTGAGTCCAACAAGAAGGGCGGCTGCAGGGGCTTGCTCGGGGAAAACTATACCCAGCTCCTTGAGTTCACCATGGATGGTCTGCACCTTGGCGATGTAGTCGGCCATTCCTGAGCAGTCCTCAAGTCGCACCTGAAACATGCTGGGGATGAGGATCGCCACTCCGACCGCCGTCTTGTTCATGAACCGATCCTGGAGATACTTCCAGATGGCGTTGGAGGTAGGGTAGTTGTGGAACGTGTTGACAAGTTCGGGAGGGGTGGAGGCGATGAAGACGCTGATGATGGCAGCATCGGCCTTCTCCCATTTCCGGTACTTCTCAACAGCTTCCTCGTACGCCCTCACGTCAGCATCATTAGAAGATTCGGTCGGCTCACGGGAGGGAGTAGGCTGTTTCCCCTTGCCACGGTTGAGGAGGACGTCCTTGAGGTCAAGGCCCTGCACGTCACGGCTCAGGAGGTGCTTGTCAACTCCGTAGCTCCATGCCTTGAAGTTGGAGCTAGAGCCATCAGCTTCAAGGCGGAGCAGGGTGATGGGTTCGCCATGGTGGAAGATGAGAGAGCCATGGTGGAGGCCCCTTAAATTCTCGCGCGGAGCGCCGCTCTTAAGTCACCGATAGTCACCCTAAACCCTCAACGAGCGGCGCGGAGCGCGGCGATTTCGAAATCCGACGGACGCGAAAGGCAAAAATCGTCAATGTCGGCCGCGTCGAATTGCCTCGTAGAAGGAGTTTCCAGGCCGTCGAAATTAGGTCGAATCGGCCGATTTTGGTAGAACTAAATCTAATCCCACACACCCCCCCACACACCGCCCTCAGCTTCATGGCTACGCTGCTGCTCGGCTTCACGGCTACACGGCTGCTCAGCTTCGCGGCTACGCTGCTGCTCGGCTGCGCTGCTGCACCTGTTCAGCTGCGGGAAACGGGGGGGATGGGGGTAGAAGTGCAGATGCGGGGCGACGGGCGGCGGCCCGACGAGGAGAACAACGCCGACGAAGACGTTCGACGAAAAAGAGTGATAGTTAGAGCGCAGACGATGCGCTTACCAGAAAGATTGTTGACGTCGTCGAAATTGACGGGAACGTGGTGCGGGAAGATTTCCGCCTACGGACGTCGCGAATCACCGGCGACGAGATTGACGATGGCTACGCCGAGGTTTGCGGGACGAGCATCCGCGAAGATAAGAGGATCACGATCCGCGTATGCGGTTGAAGGGCTCTGATACCATGTCAGAACTTAGGCTTAGAACTGATACATTAGTAGTGAGCTCAAAGCTCTTTAAGTACATCAGGAATGAGCAAGGTAGGGATGAGAGGGGAATCAGGGGGCAATCCTAGGGAATCAAGGGTAATCCCAAGGCAAGCTCCAATTGGTGGGTTGGAGATTGCTTGGAGATTACATTTGGGTTTGGTTGGGATGTGGGTGTACACCCAACCAAACACAAAGTGCAAACTACACTAAACTAAACTAGGATATAAAAGTACAAGTACAAATTGTGAGATTGAGGGCTAACACCAACATAGGCCTGTTGGACCTTCTCCCGTGGTGCTCACTGATCACGTAGACTGCACATTCAAACTAAAAAGATGCTGCCGCGTGCTTGAGTTGCATCCGTTTCATGGTGCATGCATCCGATCCGATTGACATACTGCATGGTACTGAGCATTTTCGAGCTCTCCATGGTGCTTGCCTCTCTCCTCTTTTGACCTTACTTCCTCTTGCCGTGTGCTGCATCCGTTTCCAATCTGCCTCTCAAGGTCATTGGACTTCAACAGTTTCAGTGGAAACCTGCCTGACTCCCTAGCCCAGCTGCAAGGACTGACAAGCTTGTAAGCACTGCCATTCGCCACAGCAGCAAGGCCCACACCACACCACAGCTGCCCCCTCTGCTACTATTCTTGGTGCTGGCTCTGCTTCTGGCTGTGTTAGTTTTGCGATAGCCACACGACTTCCATGCCAACCATATGGCCATGCCACCCATTCTCCATATGGGCGTATGGCCTTGATCGGCATCAATCCACGGCAGGCACCTGGAGTACAACAGGTTTCAGGGCAGCCTCCCATCGACACTTGGAGCCCTGTCCCAGCTACGTGACCTGTGAGTCAACTCCGCTCGTCACTCGTGCTTGAACAAGTCCACCGTGCGAGCCGAGCCGAAAAGCTCGCCTCGTTGCACATGTATACTCCGCTGCATGGATTTCTCTTCTAGTCACTGCCAATAGACCGGCATCTAAGCATTATGGTGTCTGGTTCAGGTGTCTTCTCTGTGGAAAACGAGAACCCACACCGCACCACACTGTCATCCCTCACCCTTGCCCACAGGGTGCTAGGCAGCAATGACTTCTCAGGCACAATGCCATCTTCGATTGCAAATCTCAAGAACCTACAATTGCTGTGAGGCCTCATATTGTGCTTGCTGAACTCTTTGTCTCTCATGACTGCTTCATGTCGAATCAACTCCTTCCAAGAACATTAGCTCAACTATATTCACAAATGGTGGAAAAATTCCATGTTTTGCTGGCAGTGCTAAATTGATCTTCCTCCCCCTCTCCCCTGCCATAATGCCTGCAGTTCCCTTCAAAGCCTGCGCGTTCATGGCCTTGTGCCTCTCGCTCTCAGCTCTCTGCAGAAGCTCCAGTACCTGTGAGGAATGCCCTGCTCATTGTACCAACTTGTCAATAAAGCCACTGTCTGTGTTTCTCGCCACACATATCTGATACATAGAGCTGGCTCCTCGGCATGTACCCACACATTTCCTTTTTTTCCGCTTTCAGAACTCTACCTAGCAATTTGCACCTTGGATTGAACTTCATGACTGAGAGTGGCTGTTTGACTAGTAAGGAGCTTGTTAGCGCTGTTACATGCAAACGATGACGAGATCCAAGAATTGGAACGTCCATCATGCAATGGTAACGCCCACGTAGGGCTTGGTTCAAAAAGGAACGGCCAAAGAGGACCTTCAAAGAACCAGCAGAGAGGGGGTCATTGCACAAATGTATTGGAGGGGAAACCATAACACGTTTTCGTTCATGCTGGAAGATCTCTCCAACTGCATGCGTGCATGTGTGCTGCAGGGATCTCACTTCCATGTTGCTGTCAGGACCCTTGGCTCCCATCGTGACTCCCATGACAAGCCTCAAGGAGCTGTAAGAGAGAAATGGTGAAGCTCATGGGGTTGCGTTCGTCATCATTTCCGCATCCTCTCCACCTTGTAGTACACTGCACAGTGCCCTCTCCTTTCTCCTTTCTCTAACTTATCCCCCTCACTGCTGTTGCGTGCATTCAATGGTCCTCCTCAGACTGGTGGGCTACAACCAGTTCACAGGAGATGTGCCCATCCCAGCGTCCAAGGCCCTGACACTTGTTGACGTTCAAGGCAACTACTTCTCGTCTGCCCCCATCCGCCCTAAGAACTGTTCTGCTATCAGCCTCATGCTCTACGATAACTGTCTGCACACCTCCCTGTGCGGGGTGAACCATCCGCAGAGGAGCAATGCGAGCTGTGCTGCATTCTGTGGAGTGGGGCAGGGCGGGGTTCTGTGCAGTGGGCATGGGTACTGCTTCTTGAATGACAGCAGCAGCATGGGGGAGTGTGTGTGCGATGCGCACTACTCCACTCGCAATGACCCACACACATGCACATACACTGGTAAGCATGTTTTTCTCCGATTTATGAGAACCATTAGCATAGTTGGTGCTGCTGCATATGTCCATCATCTTCTCCCCCTCTTCTCCCCCCCCCTTCATTCCGCCTTCCCCTCGTCTTCCAGTTGACCCCGTGCTGGCCTCCTCTGCCGCCACCCCCATGGTGCTGAGTGGCTCGGCGCTGACCTCTGCTGATGGCGCGCTGCTGCTGACCCCCAAGGCCAACGCCACCTGGGGCACGGCCTTCACAGCCGCGCCTCTCCCCCTCTTCTCCTACTTCAACACCAAGGCCACATGCGGTTACCAGCTCGCCTTCAACGCATCCCTTGCCTTCTCGCTCGACCCGGAAGCGGAGGCGGGCGGGGATGGGCTCGTGTTTGTCGTCTCTGCCGCGCTGCCAGACCGGCTGGGAGGGGTGGGGAGGCGGAGTGTGGCGGTGGAGTTTGACTCGGTGCTGAGTGTGAAGCACAGCGACCCCAACGACAACCACGTGGGCGTCAATGTGGGCGGCTCACCTGTGTCCCTCGCCTCTGCCACGGCCCCTCTCATCCTCAACGACGCCCACACCAAGCACGCCTGGATCCACTACGACCCCACCAGCGCCGGCACCCTCCGAGTCTTCCTCTCCTCCGACCCCCACCAGCCCCCCACCCCCATCTTGCGCGCTCGTGTGTCACTCTGCTCCATCCTGCAGCCCAAGGCGTCCACTGCTGCATATTACATCGGCTTTACTGCGGCATCCACGTCTGCTCCACAAGCACACTCCGTCCTCAACTGGACTTTCACTGCAGGTATGTGCCTCTCAGGTAATCCTTATCAAAGTCTTGGTTCTAAAAATAAACGCGTTACTTACCCGTATGGTTGGTTAGTACATGCGTCACTTACCCGTATGGTTGATTCTAAGAGTATATGTGTTACTTAACCGTATGGGTAAAAGTAAATGCGCTACTTGTCAGAGGTCCACTGGAGATCCCCGATGATCCTAGGGAAGGGTTACAGGCCCGTTGGCCTGGGGGGTTATGGGCGCACTCACCCGCTATATAAACAAGCCCTTTTATCCCAGTGGTTAGTGGCTGGGATTCTGACATGGTATCAGAGCGAAGGTCTCGGGTTCGATTCCCGGTGTGTGCACTTCGGGCATCCCAGTGCGGGGGGGTGTCAGAGGTCCACTGGAGATCCCCGATGATCCTAGGGAAGGGTTACAGGCCCGTTGGCCTGGGGGGTTATGGGCGCACTCACCCGCTATATAAACAAGCCCTTTTATCCCAGTGGTTAGTGGCTGGGATTCTGACACTACTTATCTGTATGGTTTTGGCCATGGATGAGCAAAGGGCGAACTTGAGCATGTTCGCGTTCGCCCATGCACGAACATGGCCGTTCGGCGAACCGAACACTGTTCGTCCCCTTGCTCATCCCTAGTTTCGGCTCGACTGACACCTTAATGAATGCCAGTAAGAATGTGGACATCAAGACGAGATGAACTAACTGATTTGTTTTCTGCGCTGGGATTTGGCTCATGGCTTGGCCTTTGTGGGCGAGTCGGAGGATAGCTGCAGGTACTTACCTCGTAGGAAACCTTAGAATGGCCGAAATGCGGAGCTTTTCGGTCCAAACCAAGTCGAATCGTTAGCTAGTGTTGAACCAATCCATTCGACTTGACTCATACTGCCATTAACTTGCAGTGATAGTACATTTACACACGCATGGTTAGTGATAACCTCGAAATTCGATTGTGACTACGAATTGTAAAGATCTTTACTTGTGGTTTCCTAGAGGGCAGTATGAGAAAAGCTTGGTAACTTTTATGTCATGCCCTAAAAATGGTCGCGACATTGATGGGGAGTCGGCTGGGCTTTTTAATAATTGAGAATCGGACTCAATTAGCACAACATTTCTGCTGCTCTGGTTGGTTTCGTCCAGCCAACCTTTGTCGTGCTGATTGGTGCCATGTAGCCCTGCTTGTCTCGACCCAATCCGAGCCAAGCGAGGAGCAATACAAGCCGAGTCATGGCTCGTCAGTGTGCGTATATCTACATAGAAACATGTGAAGGCAAAGGCCGGGTTATGGATCAGTAAGTGAGTGGAGTAAGTGATCGACTCATTCACTTAAAGCCAGCAGCCCCAAATTGCAAGGCACGCGGGTCAAATGTATTAATATTGACTTCGAGGTATGTGCAGCTCAATTTCACAAAGAGAGGTTTCAGGCGATGCCAAGTTATATTGTTGTTGGTTAAAAACGCACAAAGAGCTGGGTATCTCTCTCATAGACTGTAGCAAACTTGAAGAAAGCGCTCTTGCGATCCGGAAACTTTGAGGAGAACTGTGGAGGAAAACATGGACGGCAGAGTAGCTCATTGTGGTGAAAGAAATAGATGTCGACGCGAGTCAGCGAATCTCTTGTAGCAAAGCCACCCAACTTAACCAAACTTACTGTCAAAAGATTAGCAAGCTTGTGCGGCTTGGGCTGTGAGCTTTTAGGACTTGAGAGATTGTTGGATCAACTTGGCCAATTGACGAGCCAAGCCATGTGCCAATCCCCCGGCTCAGACTTTGCTCATGCCTAGTCCTGCTCCTTGTGATGCTTATTAATCCTTCTGCTATCCGTGCCACTCCGCTCTCGTGGTTGGCTGCTGTGGGTGCAGATGTTCCGCTTAACCCGCACTTTGATCCTTCGGGTGAGCATCCGCTTCAATCTTTGTCACAATATGTACGAGTCCATTCTTATCAATTAATTCTTCCCTCAACAGTTAACACTGTTTTCTCCTCCCAACCCCCAAAACCCATTCTCCTTCACTCACACCAGACCTGGCGTTGGGGTTTGTGTTGGACGAGGACTCCTTCTCATCGCAGGGCTTCAACGCAGCCTTCCACTACGCCAGTGCGGGCTTCGACCCCGCGCAGGACAACAGCCCTGCCTGGACTCTCAAGTCCTTCAGCACCTGGGTCTTGCCTGAATCCGCCTGGCCTGTCAAGAACCAACGGGGCTGCGGTGAGTCGCATGGTTGCATGGCATGAACAGCACGATGGCTGCAAGATATAGATCAGAGTTGTCACTTGACATACTGAGCAAGGGAGGGGAGAGGAGGGGGTTCTTGAGATGAGAGGACCAAATGGGCCACATGCAGCCATTCATGGATAAAGATTAATCCTCATACTTACTGTTGAATTTAGGCTGCACCTTAGTAGTTAGCTTCTGGACTTGAGGTTACAACTTGTCGTGTTGTTTTGGTTGGGTTGGGTGTAGAACTTGTCATCCCCAACCTCCTTATCCAACCCTATCCATCCAAAATCTGCATGGTTTTGATCGATCCTCCCGTTTTGTTCTCATCCATCCAACCCGTCCTAGTTGGATGAATTTAATTAAACGATCTACCTTCGTTTGTAGTCAATCGATTCTACTCTTTATTTGACACTTACGACACATACCATGTCCATCCTATGCTCCCTGAGAACATTTCCACATCGTTTGTGCGTATCAGCCTAGCGGGTGGGTGTGAGCACAGGCCATGTGACACCAAAGGACTTCACATACCTTGTGTCCCAAATCGCCATAGGGGCCTTGTGCATGTCTCTTGAGCACTCTTGTAGAAGCTATCTTGACAACACCCTGCTAGCAACTAGTATACTATAATCACACAAGAGTGCATGACTCCCATTACATTGCGGCCCTTCTCATACCATGCAGGCGATTGTTGGGCATACGCAGTTGTGGCGGCGGTGGAGGCAGCCCACAGAATTGCGAGCAACTCGCCGCGGCCCCCCGTGTTGTCGGTGGAGCAGCTTCGCCTCGCCCTCTCCTCCAACTGCGACGGTGGCTCGCCCACCAAGGCGCTGCAGTTCCTCCTCAACGCCACCGCCCAGGGCAAGGGCTTGGTGGAGCATGCGGTGTACTCCCAGCAAATGACCCTTCAAAGAAGATCATTGGTGAGTTCATCTGCTATTTGTGGTATGGTATATATCGATTTTAGATGTTGCTACTAATAACTCCATTTGGTGGATAGTCGTTACGATGTTCTGATCAATGGTTTTTTTGTCCCTAATTGCTGTCCTTATAGGCTAGCACCAAGTACTATGGCATCCGGGGCATCGAGCGCACGGGGTTCTACGGGTGGTTTGGACTGATGCTCGCGGTGCAGCGCCAGCCTGTTATTGTGCACATCGAGGCGTCCGCACCCTCCTTCCAAGACTACGATGGGGTAAGGCACCCTCTTTCCAAGAGGGCATGGACCAAAGGCCCGACCCGGCCTGACCGATTTGGGCGGGCCAGCCAGGTTCCAGGTCGGATCGGGCCGGGTTTGAATCACTAGGATTCCTGAACCAATCGGGGTTTCGGGTACCAGGTCATATTTGACCTGCCCCCGGGTCGACCTCGGGTCGGGTACAGAAACCCGATTTCGCCCGCCCTCTGTGCATATCGGTGATATTTGTCGAAGTGAAAGGCCCTGCCCTTGCTTGGGCGCATGTGTTTTTTGCGACAATCTGGTAAATTCAACGAAGTGATCGTCGCATTGGCTGTTGGTTTTAGACGATAGAAATCGTCGACCAGCCCGTCCTCTGAAATGGGGGTTGGTTTTCGATGCGGCCGTCCTCTGGTCAGGTAGCCTTTTGCGCAAACTCTGACGAACGGGGTGCTTGTCGACGAGCCACGTTCTCTAACAAAGCGGCACTATTCGGCGAGTCTCGTCTCGACGAACTGGTCGACCGAATTCACGCGAATGCTAAACTCTGCGAGGGCGTGCGAAATTTGCCAGAGAGGTTTTGGCGAAAGTTGACTTGCGGAAGGGCATCACGTGCTCGACGGTGGATACCTGGCGAAACTGGCAACACGTTTTCTTCATGGCACCTGCGCAATGTGCCTGACGGTGAAACCGTCGGCCTACTCCTATTGGTAGGTGCGCACATGTGTGCAGATATTCACCTTCGGGTGTAGCGTTGGCAGGCCGCCCTGCTGTAGCGTTGGCACCTCGCCCTTCTGATACCCTGGCAGGTTCCCATGCTGCGGCGTTGGCGAGCCGTTTTGCTACTGCGGTGGCAAATCGCCTTCCAAGTTGCTCGTTAGGTTTTGCAATGCCATTCTAGTCATATCGACTTGCATGCCTCTTTTTGTACTTTATTCTCATTTTTCTTTTCTTTTTTTTTGAAGAAATTCTTGTCAGATTTTTTTGTTAACACAACAAGTAGTAAGAACGCTAGTACAACGCTACGATCACCCCCACAACCCCGTGCCCTACTTCGTAGTATGACTCTTCGCAAATTCGCCCGCCAATCAGCGCAGATCATCGATTTCCCTATCATATCTGTGGAAAACGATGATTTCACACGCCAATTTGTGCAGATCGTCGAATTCGCGAGCCTATTTGCACATATCAACAACTTCTTTGGTCCATGTGATTTCGCCAGTGTTTGTGAGTGAAGAAAGCACACGTCCGCTCCCCCCCATCAATGTTGTTGGAATAAGAATTTCCAACCAATTCGCCGCCACTCACCGCTCGTCACCGCACTGGATCTAAACGACCACCCCCCAACTTCTTACAAGACTACGGTGGGATAAGGCACCCTCCTTCTAAGACCACGATGGGGTAAGGCACCCTTTGTAGTTTTGGAGGTTGCGACTTGTTGTTACGGACCCATTGGGTTGCCCACTATAGAGAAGCTGGAGGAGCCAGACGAACTAGGTAGGTGAGCTTCTAACCTCCGCTTGTTCTCGTACCATGTTGGATACACTCCTATGAATAGATAGGGTTGAGCAAAACCCGAACGTGTTCGGGTCGAACAGAATCGAAGATGTTGAAGGGGTGAACCAAGCATGTTCGGCGTGTCCGCTGCATCGTCACACAGATAACTGTGGAACGGAAACGCATCTTACTGCGGAAGAAGGCCTGCCATGCCGCCCACCGTCCCCAGCCAGCAGCCTGGACGCGAGTGTGTCGATAATTGTTGACCCTGCATTTCTAAACCCAGAAGCTGAGACTAAGTTAATCAGCCTACCTATCATATTTCCTCCGTTTGTTAACGCCCATTTCTAGCCTGAAATTTCCAACCTGAAAGCGGGTCTACATCGAGGCGTACCCAAGAATCTAATCTGCACCACCTCGCCAGAGCACGCCACAGTGCGCCGCGTCGCACCAATGCACGCGCCACTACGCAGCTCGGCCAATATGCCACCACTCTCCGCTACCCAACCATCCCCTCACTAACTTGGCCATGTCTTCCACGAGCCACTCTCGCCCCCCTCCTCTTCCCAACCCTGCCCTTGGCGCGTGCCCTTCACACTCCCAGCCTCGCTGCACTAGCAGTGCAACCACGCGCCCGTTTCCCTTTGGCACGTCCTCTACCCCTACCCCAATGCTGGGACACCTCCTCCTCAACCCCCTGTCCTGTCCTTTCCCCAATCCTCGTCACTCTGGCTCCAAGTCTTCCATTTCCTCGTCCTTGTCTTTCCCCTCCCGCCCCGCATCATCACCTCCTCCATGGTTGGAGAGGCGACCAGACCGGAGCCCACTTCGGGTCGCTATCGTCCCCACTGCCGTCCTCCTCATCACGCTCTTGCACATCACCCTCGGCCTCCTCCTCTGAACTCTCGCTCACATCGGCGTGTCACAGGGAACTGCGCCGTATGTGTCAGATTATCATCTTCATTGTAACCTGCATATATCATATAAACTTAGGTTACCGGTTGGACCAACTGGCCTGTTGGTCCAATGGATCGGATTGACCAACTGGCCTCTTGTTCCAAAGATAGACACCTAAACTTAGTCTGGGTGTACAACTAGGGTTAACCCCACTATGTGGTTGGAACCCAACCTTGGCCCAATCATTGGGCCTCCAAGGTTGGATTGAGAGATAATTGTCCCCTTCAGTAATGTTGACCCACTTTGGTAAAAATTATTGGTCTCCCCAACAACTCTTCAACCCAACTTATTATTGGGGGCAATAATGTTGGCAAGGTTCCCAACCAAACCTCCATCCTAGCTCAACTATGTAAACCCAGACATTTCATAATCAAACCATCGATTCCTCTTCACATTTTGTCATAGTATGGGCTCGGGCTTCTGTCAGCATGGCCACTATACCTACATGTGTGTGCGGATGTCGGCATGGGCATGCTCCAGGATCCATCCACAAAGCATGGCGCAGGAGTGGATGAACCATCACCAATCTTACCCTGAAGAACTCGTGGCGGGCTAGTATACATGCCACCATTACCATCAACCCCACCTTTTCACTCCGACTCAGTTTGAGCCCAATGTTGGCATGTTGGCCACGGGTTTAGGGTTTAGGGTAGAGAGGCAAATTTGTGTTCAATATTGCTCATGTGGATTGCACATATCTCTTTCCTGCTGCCTTTTGTTGTATGTCCTGTTTCCACATATACTGTGGTCATGTGTATGCTGGCAGAGAGGCAAGTACGCGGACGAGGAGTGTTTCAGCAACCACCTGAACCACGTGGTGCTGGTGGTGGGCTACCTCTCCGCAGGCTCCGACCCCTCCACCTCTGTGCCGCCGCCCTTCTGGATCATCCGCAATTCATGGGGCACAGCGTGGGGCGACCAGGGCCACATGCGCATGGACATTCGCAGTGGCGACGGCATCTGCGGCATCAACACTCTCCCGGGCCTCTTCCCCGTCGTCAGAAGTGAGGCTGATGGTTCTTCCTGACGTTTCTTGTATCCCTGAGCTTACAACTGGTGAATCTTTCCTCTGACTGTATCATACCCACGATTGCCGTGTGCCCACACCCCATGCCCACCTGATGCGATGAGCAGGCAGTGCTGATCCGTGTGGGTCACGCTCCTTCCAGTACAGCACTCAAGGCCCTGTCTTCAACCCGTGTGGGCGGTATAACTGCAGCAAGAAGGGCACCAGCAATCGCTGCAAGTGCACTGACGCCCGCTTTGCTCAAGTCAAGAACACCGATGGCTCGTACACCTGTGCCTATGGTAATTCTCACCAGGGGGGGACATTGGTAGTGTGCGCATGTGCACTGAGTGACGTTGGAAGTTTTGGACTAGTGCATCAACTGAAATTGCTCTTGAGGGAGTCTTTGGTTCTGCGTGTTAGTTGGGTTCTTCTGTTTTATAATGCACATCCCTGCTTGCTAGCTTTCAACGCCCACTTGGCCAATGTCCGCCCATGCCTATGCCTGGACCCATATCCTCCTCCCATGCACACAGCATGCCGTTCCCATACAGATCCTGATGCCTGCTGCCCATCCTCATGTATGCCCGCGTGTCCCCACTCCTCTGCCCTGGCCCCCAGTGGACGTGTGTGGGTCCAGCAGTCGCAACCCGTGTGTGGTGGGCACGTGTGTGAACGATGGCAAGGGCAGCTACTCCTGTGTGTGTCCGCCGGGGTTCATCCAGGGCACCACCCTCGCCAACACCGCCTCCTGTGCTCCGGGTAACACCCCTCTGCTGCTCTCCTCCTGTGCTCCGGGTAACACCCCTCTGCTGCTCTCCTCCTGTGCTCCGGGTAACACCCCTCTGCTGCTCTCCTCCTGTGCTCCGGGTAACACCCCTCTGCTGCTCTCCTCCTGTGCTCTGGGTAACGATCTCCTGCTGCTACTTGCTCTCTCCTTGTGTGTTCTTTGAAATGATGCACATCATCAGGTAACATGTACAATCCGTTGCGGTAACCAGTCCCTCCCTTGACCCCTGGCACCACTTGCAAAGCACCACTGGCCGCCATGCATGGAGCAGTTTACCACGCACGCTCCCTTCTTGTTCTGTTCACATACTTTGCCCCATGTCCCACCCACTCACTTGTGCTGCATACCGATTGTGAGTGGTGATGAGCGTGCAGGGGATGCAGGGGGGGTGTACACGGTGCAGCAGAGCAACGTGTGGTGCTCCCATGTGCATCCCATATTCGCCCTCACACTGGACCAGTTCACGCAGCAGAACAAGGTACCCCCACCGCCCGCCTGCTGCACATGCTTGCGTGCCACATTAGTTTCGAGCATGACAGTGCGAGTATTCTTGAACCTCCTGTATCCCTGGATAACACATGCTTGTGATAGTCTGACCATCAACTCTTGCATGTGTCATCATCCCTTGCATATGTGTGCCATCATCCCTGCATGTGCCATCATCCCTGCATGTGCCATCATCCCTGCATGTGCCATCATCCCTGCATGTGCCATCATCCCTGCATGTGCCATCATCCCTGCATGTGCCATCATCCCTGCATGTGCCATCATCCCTGCATGTGCCATCATCCCTGCATGTGCCATCATCCCTGCATGTGCCATCATCCCTGCATGTGCCATCATCCCTGCATGTGCCATCATCCCTGCATGTGCCATCATCCCTGCATGTGCCATCATCCCTGCATGTGCCATCATCCCTGCATGTGCCATCATCCCCTGCCTTTCTCCCGCAGGGCATCGTCTGCTCGGCTCCTCTGCGCCTCAACGCAACCCTGCTTGTCAACTCCACAGTGCAACCCTGCTCTGTCTTCTACACCACCTTGATCGTAAGGGCTCCAATCAGTGCTTATTCATAGGCGGCTCCACAGTCCTTCTTTGCACTGCTTCACGCCTCACGGCCAATGTGAATTTCCTTTGTCAATATGCACAAAGTTTCAACCACCTTGAAGGGGGGTTTGTTTCGCACACAGTTGCTGTGTCTTCACACAGAGCACGGATCACAGCAAACAGAGTGCGAAGCTGCGGTCTATTTCACGCTTCATGGCCAACGTGCATCTTCTGTTCTAATGTACCATAATCACACCATCCTGTGTACGGAATGTACGTGCCAGGCCACTCAATATCGAACTTTCACAATCCAGTTCCTTTTCCTCTCCATGTGTCCTCAGGGCGACATACGGAATGTATGTGCCAGCCACTCGGTATTGGCCTTTACATCTTCAAATTCCTTTCCCTCTCTCCATGTGTCCCTCAGGGCGACACGTGCACGGGGGTGGCACGGCAGGTGGAGCTGTGTGGGGCGGCGGCGTCGGATGCGGAGTGTGAGGCGGCATTTCAGGCGCTCAACCCCGCTGTCAACTGCTCCTCCCTCAGCCCCTCCCAGGCCGTGTGCCTGGAGAGGGACCCCGCCAAGGCGAATGTGACGGTGGTGTGCGACCAGTACTACCGGGCGCGCCTCAGCGACACGTGCGACAGCATCAGGCAGCTGGCGGAGCCTCCTCTCAGCCCCGTGGCCTTCTACCGCCTCAACCCCGGCGTCAACTGCAACCAGCTCATCCCCCTCAAAAACTACTCCCACTCCACCACCACCTTTGGCGCTGAGGTCAGTCACTCTGGTACATGCTGAGCTGAGTTCAGGCCTGTGTTAGTAGTTCTGCAAGGTGTGTCCTTCGTGCATTCAATGCATCTCACCTTTTTAGCTGCACTGCAAGTGCCCCCTGCTCCCTGCTGGCCCTCTTTCCTGCATTGTCTTCTCCACCCCACACGCCACCTCCCCTGTGCCTGCAGGTGTGCATTGGCAGCGTGACCAACTTCACAGCGGGTATCTGTTCGAGGACCAGCACATACACCATCTCACCGGGGGATGACTGCAAGTACATCAACGTCAAGTACTTCTACAGCATCAAGGGCTGCTACAGGCGAATGAATGGGTATGAATGTGTGGATAAGTTAAGACCTGGGGTGAAGATTTGCACGCCAAGTGCAAACAAGGCTCGAATTGGGACTTGCAGCATCTGACCCGAATACATCTTTGCTCACTACATACACAATGTACATATAGTTATCAATATTGGGCAGCAGAAACGCCTCAAGCCATATTCACCGAAATATTCGACCCCCCAAAATTACAGCTGCCTGGAATAATAGTGCCACGCTAATGTACCCACTGCCTTACAGAGAAGAGGGAATATCTGCTCACGAATGCAAGGAAAAACCCCAGGCAAAAGAATTAAGATTGGAAAGTACAAAAGGTAGACAGCAGATGAATTATACAGCCATGAACGGCTGGGACAGGGTACGGTGCAAAGTAGCATACCTGTGATGAAGCTCCAGGACAAAACGGCATGGCTTTGGGGCTGGCTGCCTGAGAGGGCAACGAAGCCGAAGAGGAAGAGAGAGTCGGATGCAGTGGGCTTGAGCACGGAGCAGAGAGACACGCTTGCTGTAAGGGTGGGGGTGGGGGGCTGGTGGGGGTCGGAGGAGAGGAAGACTCGGAGGGTGCCGGCGCTGGTGGGGTCGTAGTGGATCCAGGCGTGCTTGGTGTGGGCGTCGTTGAGGATGAGAGGGGCCGTGGCAGAGGCGAGGGACACAGGTGAGCCGCCCACATTGACGCCCACGTGGTTGTCGTTGGGGTCGCTGTGCTTCACACTCAGCACCGAGTCAAACTCCACCGCCACACTCCGCCTCCCCACCCCTCCCAGCCCCACACTCGCCCCCTTGCCAGCAGCTGCTGCAACCACAAATGCAAGCCCTTCCCCACCCGCCCCCTGATCCCCGGGGATCATGGCGAAGCTGAAGGCAACGAGGAAGCCCAGCTGAGTGCCGCAGGGAGAGCGCTTGTCAGGAAAGTAGAATAGGCGCAGCGCGGGCGAGGCAAACGCTACACCCTGCTGGTTGGCTGCATCCCCTGTGAGCAGAATGGAGCCATTGGAGGGCACAGCTGCAGAGCCTTGGAGAGACACATAGGCTGAGCTTGATGCCAGTGAAGCACCAGCAGCTGGACGTGCAAGGAAGAAAGCCAGCAGGGAAGATGTGTGAGGAATGAACTGGTTTCAGGGTTTACACATGCTGGTTCTGGGGAAGAGGTGGCAATACCAAGGTTCTCATGAGAAGGAAAAATAGATGGGAAATCTACACTGCCAGTAGATAGAGATAGATTGAGCTGTAGTGGGTGTTGAATAGAAACTCGCCTCCAGGCACACAGGCGTTGGTGTTGCTGCTGCTGACCATGTAGTTGGGGTCGCACACACACTCCCCTTCTCCAGTGAAAGGATTCAGAGAGCAGTAGCCATGGCCCCCACACAGAGGGCCCGTGGCACCGACCTCCAGCCCACAGAATGCAGCGCATGCAGTCGCTGGCCTTTGGGTGGAAGCTTGGCCACAGACGCTCGGTGCGGCAAGGCAGTTTCCAGACGTGTCCAAAAATACCGCAGAGCAGTTGCTCAGCTTGAGGTGGCCATGTGTGAAGAAGTTGTGCCCCACGCGGTAAATCGTCAAGCTTCGACTGGAGATGCTGGGAACACGGCCAGAGAACCGGTTGCCTGTGAGGAAACTGCAAGGGAGAGGGGGAGGAGGGTGGAAGGGTGCAAGGGGAAGGTGTGAAGGAGGAGAAAGGGATGGAGAGAAAGAGACACAACTAACATTGGCAGGAGAAAAATACGCCTAGCCAATGCGGATGCACGTGGGTAGGCTTGGGGAGATGAGAAAGGAAGTAAGGGTGCTCAAGTGAAGACACGAGGTGCTACCCACAGAATACTGAGGTCCGTCATGGGTCGTAGGATGGGGTCAATGGGACCATCGAGATCGTTGAATGCAACTAAGCTGAGTGGCACACACATGCGCACACATGCAGGGAAGGGAGGAGGAACTCAGAAGGCATGAGTGCAGCGGAGGCACCATGTAAAGCAAGGACAGTGGGTGACAGGTGCCGGCAGGAGGTGACAGCATCGAAGGAAGTTGCCCAGCCCAAATGGTATTGCCTCGTCGGCTTCAGAATGGGCAGGCAAGCGTTGGAAGTGGCAACAGATAAAAGGACGGTGAAGAGGAAAACAGGTGCTGGATGAGACGAGGAGCATAGCAAATTAGAGTACAGTATAGGCGGGAAAAAAGGTGGTATGCAGTTCAAGTCAAGAATGGCAGAGTAAATACTGCTAAGTGATCATAAGCACATTTCAAGGCGAGAGTTAGGTAAAATAACCACTCAATTGCACTTCAGAAAACCCAAGTCCTCTCAACTCAATCATGTCAATGTGAGGAGAATCCTGCCACAACCCTAACCCAGCAGCTCATTCCTGCCGCATCCTCTCCCACCCTCTCCCCTCCTCCCCCCAGACACCCTTTGCCCGGACAAGCACTTACCTAGCATTTGTCAAGGCACCTACCAAGTAGTTATCATCTAAACGCGAGTGCTTAGATGATAAATGCTTGGTAGGTGCCTTGACAAACGCAAAAAATCAAGAGTGTAAACAGCCAAATGCGCCTGCGACTACTATGCGATGAACAAAATCCCTACAAGTCCTGAAGCTTGGAGAGATTGGTAAATGTGCTGGGGATGGTTCCAGTCAGCCGATTGCCCGAGAGGATCCTGCTCATGCGGAATGCAGCACACACATACTTCATGGCATGTAGACCAGTGAGTGCAATGCAACAAAGAAGGCATGCTGTCAAAGATCGTACATACACAGTGATGAAAAGAGTTCATGCTTGAACCAGGCTTTTGATGTGTGGTTCACTACCAGAGAGGTATGCCAATTGTTAGACTATTACAAGCTAAGCAGGTTGGTGAGTTTCCCAATGGAGGTAGGGATTGTTCCGGACAATGGGTTGCCTGTTAAGAACCTGGTGGCACAGTCGTACAGAAAGAGGGCAGAAAGGATGGCAGAAAGACAACAGGTATGCAGACCAAAGCATTGCCACTGTCGAAATCAAAGCAGGTGTTATTGAGTAAAGCAAAGCAGGCTACGAAAACAAGATTGAATGAACGCATTGGCACTGACGAAAATAGCAGGCTTGGTGGAGAGCTGCCGTAGCAGCGACAACCGTGTGGTTTGAGGAACCAATGTTATGTTAAGGGACAAAAGTAGTACATGAGAAGAGAGGGAGGTAAAGGCAGGGTAGACGCCTCACAGGTACTGCAGAGCAGTCATATCGCCCAGCACAACAGGTATGCCTCCTGACAGCCGGTTCATTGAGAGCGATCTGAACGATGCATTGTGTGACAGCCAAAGCAAGACTGGAGGTTTTGAGATGATACCAGAAGATTGACGCCATGCTGAGCAGATTTGAATACAAAGAGCAGAAGGAGATGCAAAGCAACTGGGAGGGAAGAGAACTGGATGGGGCCCACAAGACGAAGACAGGAAAACGAAGTTTAAATTCGATAAGGACTGGGTTTATCCTGCTTAGTTGAGTGGTTGTAAGACTACGTGGCTGCACTTTACAGGCGCAACAGCTGCTGCAGGGACGAGATTGAATTGGGAATTGAGCCATCCAGAAGGTTGTACTCAAGCCCACTGGGGGAGTGCAGTGCAGCAAACAAATCAGGCGGTTTAAGTTTCCAGATAAGTAACCACTTGAAATAAGAAAGAAACAAAATTAACAACCAGTCATTGCTTTTGAATGCAACAATGGCAGGTGAAAGCTTTTGGAGAAGAGGCCAAGCCATGCGTACGAAGCACGCAACAGCATGCTGCGCCAGTGACTTAACAACTAGCGTTGCACCTGCAAGAGTCTTGGTGGACCAATCGCATGGCAGAAGTATCACGCATAGCCACATACAGCGACGCAAAGTATGACAGTGAATTCATTCTCTAGTAGCATAGTTCGGTCACAAAAATAACAACAACCAAACAGAAGGTTGGTGTCAAGTGGCGTGACCCACAGGAAGATGAGTGCAGAGAGGAACGCAAGTGACTCAGGAATGGTCCCTGTCAGCTGATTGCTTCCCAAACGGCTGTGCAGGGAGCCAGCAGAAAAGACAGGCAAGCGATGGAAGGACAGGAGAGGAGCATGGTGGGCAAGGTGATAAGGATGAAGAGCGAGTAGCAGATGAAGGCATGATGCTGCACACCGACTGCCAGTTATGCTGTCTTGCAGATGGTTTACTCACATTGCCAATTGCTTACCAACGCGATCATACTCCACCGGCAAACAAAGAGTACATGCATAATAGTCAGCAATAATATAGGCACACATCAGCACGGACATGAGCATTTCATGAATCGAGTAAAAATTGACTAGTTTTGGCTTGCCTTGAACGAACATCGACTCGTTATCTGCCCAAAAATCAGGGGAAAATTAACCCAGGGTTTTTTTTCTTCTTCTTTCTTTCTTTCTTTAACGAACCCAATCAAGGTACCCGACTTGTGGTACCCTGCCCATCCGCTACACCCATTCCACTACTCTACTGTTTCCCCCATGCCAGGTACAGCAGGAGTTTCCAAAACAGCAGCTACAGAAAACATCAATAGACAACAGGAGCAATTAGTGAAAGCTGGGTCGAGTACTTCTTTCACTTGTGAGTAGAAAATGCTGGCAAGAAAAGAAAAGGAAGAAAAACATATGACAAATGTCCCGTAAAACTGGGAATGTTTACAATTGACGGATGAGTCTGATTTAATGGATGGTTTGCATCAAGGCTCTCACAGAATACCGAGGTTGTGAAGGCCACTGAAAGACTCGGGTATGGTACCAGTGAGTTGATTGTGGTGCACGCTACTGAGATGAGTGGGGCAGTAAGGTGAGAGAAAGAGTCACATGCGTTATGATGCAGTTGAGTAATAGACTCGCAAGGTGGTAGGGCAAGAAGCTGCATGGGAGCTTGCACAATTCAAACCGACTAGTCGCTTTTGAATAAGCCCACAACACGTCTCGCACAATCTCAGAAACCAGGCACAAACGTGACGTGCTGGTGGCGTACAGATCCTGTAGCAAGGACAGGTTGCCCAGTGCACAAGGGAGGCTTCCGGAGAATTGGTTGTAGGGAAGGTACCTGCATGTGCAGTGGGCAGAGTGAGCAAGGACATAGCAGCATGCTCATGCTGAGGACAAGTGGTTGTCGAGCATTCATTGGAATGACAGGTGGGTGCTGGTAACGAGGCGGTGCTGAGCGATAGGGGGGCTGTGAGCTGCCTCAGGAGCAGCAGATCGAGAGAGAGACATCAACACTCAACGCCCTCTTATCTCTGATTGGCCCTCCTGGAAACTGATTACTGGCCCTGCCCCTTTCACCGGCCCTTTTCACTCGCCCCTCTCAATTTTCCACAGCTGCTGCTCTCCATCGAGTCATCCCCTTGCCAGTACCATGCCTCTGCGACTGCTGGCATGTCGGCACATTCCCACAAGCCCGCCTCCCCAATCACCTCATGTGCTGCAGGAAAGACAAGGGGAGGACCTCCACTGTCCACGCACGTCGAGATGAGTGTGCTCGGATAAAAGCACAGGCAGAATTCATGGTCCCTAAAGAAACGAGAACCTACTCCCCGGTCGAAAACCGCAATCCCATTACCGACCCCTCTCGGTACCGATCCACGGGAGATATATATGTGTGACATCTTGGTTACTGACCCCATCTCCTATCAGGACCCCTTGCTCGGAAAAAACCGAGTTGGTGGCAAGGGCGGCTGCAGCACGCAAGGAAGAGAAACACACCGTCCGCAGGGCATGGGCCGGATTCCATGTGACAGCGGTGGAGACCTACTACGGCTACACCTCAACAGGGGTGTTCTCTTACCTGCGCCTGTGCCATGCCAACCTCACAACAAATTGCCGCTTCAAGGCAGCACCGACACCGGCAGGAGCAGCCAAGGTGTGCACCATGAGGACTGCAAGTGCTAGGGTATTACCCTCCCGCAGGGCCACACCACATCAGTGCACTCCGCACCACGACCAGAAGCCCATGCCCTCAGCTCTCTGCTATGGCTATATCAAGGGCTGAGAGGGCCTTGTTCTACTCTGCCCTAGTTCTCACAGAATTTCGAGGCTGGTGAGAGTTCCGAGCTCATTGGCGAGCGAACCACTGAAGGAATTGTCAGGGAGAAACCTGGGGATTATGGAGGGCAGGGGAAACGTGCAAGTAGCAAGTTAGAGTGAGGCACCGGTGATGCCATTTGTGGTAGAACGCGCTTGTTCGCCCTTGCTGCCACGTCAGCTTCCGCTCACTGCTGCGCCAGGGGTGTGGCTTCTCAGCCCACTCCCACCTGAGCTCGTCTGCTCTCACTTCCAGGACCCTCCTTGACCAACAATGAATCGGCCTCGTGGCCGGGTCAGCTCATCCTGCCTCGTCTAGCATAGCTCAGGACTCGTGCCAGCTTGTCACAAGCTGGCTGGACATGGCCCCATGCTCATGCCAAACATGAAGCACACCACATGGTAGGTGGCTCCACAGCAGCACCCAGCCAGTCGTGTGCAAAATAGAGGGCAAGCAGTTCCCTTCCCAGTGGCACCGTCGTTTCTTGACTACCACAGCAGTCTCCCTACCCAGCAGCACTCTCCTAGCCCCTTTATCTTGTCCTTGTCTAGCCTCGTCCATCCTAGGCTAGGCATTCCTTCCAATATTTGGCATTGCCATTGAATAGTACCATCGCCTTCTCTTGCCTGTCTTTTACAATTAACAAGAACCTCATCACTCAAGCAAATTATGCAGCTAGGGATGCAAACAGAGGGAGGGATGAGCAGGGGGCGATACAGAGTGTGGGGCTGACAATGCTTTGAGTTGCAGTAAGTTGGAAAGCGGGGTGATGGGTCCAAAGAGCAGGTTGCCAGTAAGGTCTCTGACATCGCGTGGGAGGAAGATGGGAGGAAGATGAAGAGTAACAAGGAAACCGAGATGTTGTAAACAGGACTTCAATGTTTGCAGACAACATGAAGACATTTCAACTTGTATTGATGAAACCACAAGTCCACGTGCACTTTGTAGGCATGGGGTTGAGAGGGGAGGGGGGAGGAGGGGGGACGAATGCAAGTGTAGTGGAGGTTGCAATGCAAGAATGGCTACACCCACAGGTATACTAAGTTGGTCAAGCGGCTGAAGGCACCTGGCAGCGTCCCTGTGATTGAATTGCCCGAAAGATCACTAGGTGAACGCAGTGAGGGGTGGAGACGAGCAGTGCACAAGCAACACAGAAGTGGGAAGATAAGATATGCTAAGCAGCATAGGGTGCAGCGTGAAAATGAGCTATAAACATCCAAATGCATGATGAAAGGATGTTCCTGTGGGCTTGCTGATTCCAGAAACAGACATGGAATGGAAGTTTATGGAATGGGCACATACGAGCACGTGCAAGTGATGGTGGGAATGATGTTACAAACAACAAGATGGTGGCTTACAGTGCATTCAATCGCTGCAGGCTAAAGAGGGCATCTGGAATGCTGCCTGTGACTTCGCAATAGTTCAGCACTCTTAGAGATGAGGCAGGAGAAAACGAAGACGGGGGGGAGTGACAGTGGGGAGGGAAGGGGGGAGGGACACAAAGAAGTCTTTGACACACATTCGACCCAAACACATTCGTGTTCGGGTTTTGCTCATCCCTACGTGGCACAGATGTTCAGGTTTGTATTTGCAAGTATCTGATTCTAAATTGCATTTGATGCGGAGCAACTACAAGTCTAACAGTACCCACAAAATATTCAGAGAGAACTGGTCGTAATTGTTATTAAAGGCTCAGTCAGCATGTACCCAGAAGACCTGCATCACTCAGTTGCATTGCATCACCCAGTTACTCACTCACCTGAGGGCAAGGTTCAAATCATTGTGCCAAGCTTAGTTGGTATTGTACGTTTACGGTGGTTTACGTTTACGTGACTTTACGTAGTAAACTTACGTTTACTTACGTGGGCCCAAAATGGCTTTACGTTTACGGTCAGCCAGAAACATTTCTGGCTGCCCAGAAAGATAAGAAATCATTGGACTAAGTGTCTGCATGGGAAGCGCCTAATCTATCACTAGCTTGGTTCTTCTACGCCCAAGCATGTTAGCTTATTAGTACATCAACTTACAGCTTCCCTAAATCTACACGGACATGTCGCAGCCTCTCCCACCTCATATCAGTCAGATTTTCTCGTTTCGCGGGCAAAAAAACCTTTTTTGCCCTGCCCGTGTGACTTTACGTAAAATTACGCGTAAGAAAACGTAAAGGTAAACTCAAGCGTAAGTTTACGTTTACGTGACCCAAAAAAACGTAAAGTACCAACTAAGGTGCCAAGTGGTAGCACAAGTGCTGGATGCAATGAGGGGCAGCAACTCACAGGGCTTCAAGGCTCTCGAATCGACTGATCATGTTGGGTATAGAGGCTCCAAAGATCTTCAGCCGAAGCATTCTGTGAATCAGGTGAGGTCGGGTGGAAGCAGAGAGACTCAACCGAGTGGAGTATATCCGAGACGGGAGAAGGCTACTTGCGCTGGGGATGGAACGAGATGTGCATCAAGTGTCAACCAAAGGTGTGCTATAAGCTGCCCTGCCACGAGCTCATGTGCTCGCTCGGGCGAGCTCAAAGAGGTAGGAGCAGCCGCACAGGGGCAGCCTAAGATGGCAGTGCACTCACATGGAAACAATGTAGCCATCATGGTCGCAACGGATTCCCTCCATGGCCATGCAGTCCGCATGGCGCCATCTCCACGTGTCACTGCCGTTGAACTCGTTCCACTCGCTGGCCAGCAATGACAGACTCGTGGCTGCGCGGACCAACAATAGGGTGGGGCACGGGAGGGGTGGGCACAGGAGGGGTGGGGCACGGAAGGGAGGGGTGGGGCACGGGAGGGTTGAGGCATGGACGGAGTGAGGCGCGGATGGGATGAGGTGACGAGGGGGCGAGGCACAGATGAGATGCAGCAGGCGGAAGAATGGCAAGGCGCCGAGGCCAAGGCAAGGTCGTGGGAGTGCTGGAGGGGCAGGTGGGTGTGCTGGGAGCTGCACGTGCTACCAGGGACTACTGTGGCACACTCTGCAGCTCTGAGCAGCATCAATCTCCTCACAGCCAGGGTCGGTGTGATACACCTGGCGTACCGTCTCTTGGGTGCAGTCGCACCGCCCCTGCTCCCCACACGGCCGCGAGGCACACCAGGCTGCTCAGCAGCAGCATATGAGACTCCAACATCCGGCAAGGCTCCTGCGGGGATAAACACGGCAGCCAGAAAGGGCGCTGATGATGATGATGATAGCCGGGGAGGTATGTATTTCACGCGCGAACAAGGAAATACCGGAAACCTGCCCATTTACCGAGGAGCTCATGCCTCCTGCCCTCGCTCCTCCGTCACACAGCTCTTTCATGTTCGCACCAGCGAGCGCACGCTGGGGCTCGCTTTGTGCCAGCACGCGGCGGAAGCGGTGCGTGCCGTAACTTGCGATGTAAGGCTCACGGGCGGGGGTTCAACTGGCGATAAGGCCTCACGGATTGCTCGGTGCAGCGACCTGCCCGTTTGCGATCGTTACATCATGCCGCCGCGTGGAGCCGGCAGGCAGTGGCGGCGGGCTCTATAGACGGTGCAAGTGGACCAGGTCGGCCCGGAGCGACTAGTAGTGTGAGCGTCGAGCTGGTAGATTACTCAAGAATTTTATCCGCTCCGCAATCTTGTTGCAATCGCAAATCCCCAGCGCGCCTGCGTCCACACACCTGATGCGAGGCTTATTTTTACTCTAATAGAATTCGACGGAACGAGCTAATGACGTGTTGCGACCCAACAAGGTCGGTTTGGGTCGAGGCGACCTTGGTCGACCATGGTTGACCCGACCATCATGGCTCGAAGAAGCAAGAATTCATGAAAAATGTTGACACGCCCTCGACGCACCTGCAGCATAACTGCCATCCGCCTTCCCTGAAGGCTGGGCGAATTGTGGCGTTGCCGAGGCTGTTGATGCTCTTCGCAGGGCCAACATCACAGGCATGCAAAACAGTCTGGTAACCCTATTCGATTGTATGCAAAACCGTCGATACCCCAGTTCCACTGCGCAAATCTGTCTGGTACCGCCACTCAAAACACTGTGTGACAGCTGACGCAGCACAAAAAGGAAGCAATACGTGCAACATTCGAAAACGTTTTCAATTTCGTTTCAATCTATTCTTACCGCGCTTTGTTTGGCGCCTAACAACGATTCCTGTGGACAACTATTTTCCGTTGAATGTGCACGATAATTCCGACAGAAATAATCGTTGGAATTAGAGTAATATTTATATTGCTGCCGGAAACTGTTAGGGCATGCATAAAAAAATAAAACCCCTAGGGACCTGGACTCATTTCAGGGAGGGATCAACCCTAAACACGGGAAAGGGCATTGTTTTTAGGGTTGATGCCTCCCGAGTCGCATCCCTTTCCGATTGGGTTTTATTTTTCCTGCAGGTGTAGCTACCAGTGTTGCTCAAATGGCAGAACAATCGCCCGAATAAATCGAATTTGAAAGGAAACAAACGCGTGGTAAAAATCAGTTATTGAAATCAACAGAACCGCGATTCTAGCGCAAAATGTCAATACCTCCAAAACCGCGGTATCGACGGTTTTGCATACAATCGAATAGGGTTACCAGACTGTTTTGCATGCCTGTGATGTTGGCCCCTCTTCGCACGACTAGGTCTGTAAGGACGCGTCCCTCCCTCCAACAATCGTGCAAAATAGTGGAAGATCGATCGTCTACTGCACTAAAACCCTGAGTGTTGCATTTAAAATTGTTTAAAAACTTTTTAAACCGAATCAAAAATAGATCCACGATGCAGCTTTCCTAGAAATGAGAGATTGGAATTGGTCGGCCTTATCTTGTTGGGTCGCAGCACGCCGTAAGGTCGTCTTCTGAAACTAAGTGCATTGCAAAATAACCTTCTAAGGCACTTTCGATTTTAAACAGACCACTCTAGGCTACACCAAGCACGGAGCTGCATTATCTAGAAACTGAGTGGCCCTTGTTGTATGTTTTGAAAAGCCACCTTTCCATATGTGTAGGTTGGTCATAAGTTGTCAAAAGGTTTGTGCTATGTGTGATGTCTTTACAATAACATTTGCGCATCTTTCTAGGCTGGAGTCCAACCAAACTCGGTTCAATTTGAAGCAACTAGAACGTAGCTCTTTATGCCAGCCAATCCCAGCATCACGAGCCTGAAGTCTGAGGGTACATTCGTATCCCGTGTCAGACAGAAGGTTTGACACGAAGTGGAGGTTCGAAAGACCCAAAATGGCTTATTTGCGGGGCGATTGAAAGTTCGGAAGAGTCAATTTATTTACGAAGGGCTCATGACTTGATATTTGACACGTGATACGAATCCTGAGACCCGGTCTGGACCATACGAGCTCCAGGTTTGAAAGCCTACACCGTGAAATAGATCTAGCTGTACTGATATGAGTTGCCAAACAGAGTTGCGCGAAAACAAATAACGGAGATGTGACAATATACAATGAATAACTCCATTTATTATAGCGGGCCAACCTAGCTAGGCGGGAACCTCGAGAATACGGATTGGGTGCAGGTTGGGCAAAAGAAAGTTGAATGCGACGCGTGGATGCTTCAGTTGCAAGGAAACAGGCCGAATGCGCACTTCCAAAAATGAGGGTTATACGCAAAACAACAAATCCAAGTAAGGGAAAGTGTCTCTTTCCTTATACTACCTCCCTCCCCCCTTAAGAACGGTGGCCAATATCCGCGACACGCTTTCGGGCGAGGTAATCTTGTAGCAACGAAGGTGCTTCAAACGAGGCATATGGCACCCATGTATCGTCCTCGCTGGTGTGGTCGGTCAGCGGATCAATAAATCTGCGTCGCACTCACTTCCATCGAGGTGTACGCAATACCCCAAGATTTTTTTTTGGACAAACATTTCCAGGTACAGATTGTAGTCGAAACGAAGAGCAGCAACAAAGTCAACAAGCTCATCGACTAAGGCAGACGCAGCAGCGGACTCAAACGAAGGGTCAGTGACAACAGTGCACAGGAGACGCGTGACAGTAGGGCTGGCAGCACGAACCAGGTCAGACTCATGGTCCGGAACGTGTAGAAGAGAGGACGCAAGAGGAGACGGCAGGGGAACACGCTGTGGAACAGAGGAAGGACAAAGTGTTATAGTATGAGTGCCAGGGACAAGAGGTCGACGCTGACGAGGAATACGACGACCAGTGCGAACAGCGTTAACAGGCGAGGCAGGACCAGATGCAGTCTCACGACGCTCTGTAAGCGAATCTGTCTGCTCAGTGCAAGGAGAAGGAGCAGTCAATGGGGGGCCTGGCTGTAACGGGAGGCAAGTAGAAGACGGGAGGCTAATAACTTGGCGAAGCACCGAGTTAGGCGGCGGCAGAGACGACGGAGACGGTGGAGCGAAGAACAGTCGCGGCTGTGCAGTACCACCAGCACCAGCTCCTCCAGCACCAGCACCTCTAGTACTAGTACCAGCAGCTCCAGGGCCTCCAGCAGCTCCAGCACCTCCAGCTCCTGCGCCTCTAGCTCTAGTGCCTCCAACTCCAACACCTACAGCTCCCGGGTCACCAGCTCTAGTGCCTCCAGCTCCAGCACCTCCAGCTCCAGTGCCTCCAGCTCCTGAAGTTCCAGTATTGCACGTTGCTCGTTCGAGTTTCGGCTTGGTCTCGTCAACAACGCCAACACCATGATCAAACTTCGGGCGTGAAGGGGAGTGTTGCGATAACTTTAAGTACTTGGTTGCAATTCGACAGTTTGATTATTATTACACAGTAGTTCTATAGAGCGTCAAAATCCCAGTCACTAGACCACTCGCATAAAATGGCTTGCTTGCTTAGCAGGTGAGTGCCCCCATATTCCCCAGTCGAACGCGCATGTAACCCTTCCCTAGAATCAGTCGGAGATCCCCAGTGCCGGTCTACTGATACCCCCCTACACTGGGAGGGCAATGACACTGACAGCACCTTCGACAGCATGTGCACACATAAGGATTTGATCCCGCCACCTTTCGCTCAAATACCATATCAGAATCACAGTCACTAGACCACTAGGATAAAATGACTTGTTTGTGTACAATGACCATTAGGCCCCCAGACGAACACGCCTGTAATCCAACACGCGTGTAATCCATCCCTAAGATCGATCGGGGATCCTCAGTGCCCTGGAATTGTGCTGATATAACCAAAGGATCAAGTGCATAGGATAAGATCTGTTAAGTCTGAGAGGAGACAATAAAGTCTCTGTAGTGACCTTGTTGAATAATAGTTGAAAAGGAACAAGATGATTAAAAGATAGGAGTACAAGGGATTAAATAGCAAACTAACTAGCCATGTACTCTGAGGGGTACATTCCCTTATTAACTGTATTACATAGCTACAGTAACCGCGACTATTGACATCCTCGACAGTTACCATGTTGCAGCGAACAACTGTCGCGCGGTTACTAGACGGTCAAGGGTCACGACCGTTGACTACCCTCGACGGTTGACCTTCGGGTGACCCTCGACATTCCGCATGCTCTATATGAGCTATTGCGGTACTGGTACAATGGAGCAGTTTCGGGAATGCTTATATAACCTTTCGGTTATTCCAACACTCCCCTTCATTCCTGAAGGTGGGCCACGTGGGATTTCTTGGTGATCCCGCAGAGGTTGGCGCAGTGCTGGTACTGCTGACGTGGCAATTTTTTCGTTAGGAAATCGGCTGCCATGTCACCGGTCGGGCAGTACGTCAGCTTGACTCTCCCCTTGTCGATTTCGTCCTTCACGAAGAAGTAGCGAAGGGCGATGTGCTTGGTGCGGTTGACGAAGCCGGGTTTGTTCGCGATCTTTATCGCGCTCTGATTGTCGCAGAGTAACGTGAAGTGCCCGTTCATCGTCACTTTCGCCTCTTTGCATGAGCTCCATCAGGTACAGTCCTTCGCGAACAGCTGCGCTGGCTGCGATGAATTCTGCTTCAGCTGACGAAAGAGCGATGAGTTCCTGCTTCTGAGAGTTCCAGGAGATGAGTCCAGCAGGTTGGAGTTGGAAAATGAATCCTGTGCGGGAGCGTCTGTTGTCAACATCTCCTTCGTGGTCGGCGTCTACGTAGCCATGGAGCTGCAGGGTAGCTGTTAGGTTAGCTTCGTAGGTGAGGCCGACGTCGGGAGTGGAGATGAAGTACTGCAGTGCTCGGCGTAGATCCAGTAGATTCTCCCCTTCAGGTCGCTTCAGGTACTGTGCGAGCTGGCTTGCGACGTAGGAGAGATCGGGCCGGCACGTGACGGCGGCGAACAGGAGACATCCCAGCTGCTGCTGATAGAGACGATGGTCGTCAGGAGAGAGTGGCGTGGTGTCGGGCTCGTGGTTAGGAGGAGGAGTGCGATAAGGTGTGGTGAGG